AAAATAAGTAAACAACATGCCAGATGCAGTGGCGCACACCTGTAACCCCAGACACTTTGGAAGCTAAGGCAGGAGGACTGGAATTCAGTGAGACCCTGTTTCCAAATGACAGAAAAAGAACAAAGGACTAGAGAAGTAGCTCAGTGGGAAGGCCCTGGGTTCAGTCTCCAGTACTGCAAAAATTAATAGATAATAAATAACATAGAATTAATCCAAAAAGCAGAGCATGTATTGATACACTTACAGAACATTTTAAAACAATTTAAAAATAATTTGCTGTGCTTTCTTTTAGAAAGACTACCTGAAAAACAATGATGATTCTGAAAATTACTTAATATTATACCATTGTGTGTGTCAGGTTATATAATGGGGTACTGTTGCAGAAAGTAAAGTCAATGTTAAAGTGACAAAGTTATTAGAAACAGACGTCTACTTTGTAATACCTGTGACCTTTTACTGGTGAAAAGATTATAAATCTGGTAGGCACAGAATTTAAAGGTAAGTTAACCCAGGAGTAATTGTAAAATATTGATTGGTTGCCATTCTGGGGATTGAACCTGGGACCTTGTGCACGCCAGGCAAGCACTCTACCACTGACCTGCATCCTCAGTGCGGTGCAACTTTGATAATGAATGCCACTGTTTATGCCTGTAAACCCAGCTCTCCAAGAGGCTGAGACAGGAGGATCTCAAATTTAAGGCTTGGGTTTAATCCCCAGTGCTGTCCCTCCCTCAAAAAAGAAAAGTGCCGAGGGCTGGGGATTTAGCTCAGTGGTTTCGATGCCTGCTGCACAAGCGCAAGGACCCAAGTTTGATCCCGGTACCAAAAAAAAAGAAAAGGGCCGGGGATTCACCTCAGTGGCACTGGGCCTGCCTTACAAGCAAAGGGTCCTGAGATTGATCCTCCTCAGTAGAAAAAAAAAAGAAAAGAAAGAAAGAAAGTTGAAAGCTAGACCAAAACTTAGGTAATACTGTATTCAGTGCAATTAATGTTCAAAGTCTTTAATTTTTTTTGTTTGTTTGTTTTGTTTTTTGGGAAAGGATCTTGTATGTAGTTCAGGCCTGGCCTCGAACTCTCTATGTAGCCCAGGCTGGCCTCAAACTCACGGTGATCCTCCTGCCTCAGCCGCCTCCCCAGGTGTGCACCACCATGCCCAGCAGTGTTCAAAGGCTGAGGACGGAGAACAGAACAAAAAAAAAGAAAGCCAAGTGTTTATTTCCTCTATAAAACTGTTAGGTTGATAAAGGATTTCATAAAATTGATGTCTGTTTTTGATATTAGGAGAAGAGAGTAGAGGTTGACAAATAAGATTCTCATACAAGAACAATGCTGTCAAAGACAAAGTGATTATGGCAGAATTGGGCGTGTATAAAACTGCAAAGACAGATTGGAAGAGACTACAGAGTAGTCTTACATTAGATATGTCTTTTTTTGTTGTTCTTTACTTTTTGATGTTGCTTTTATTCATCCAACAAATATTTGTTCAGCCCCTATGTCAGACATTTTTCTAGAGACTAAGGATACAATAGTAGCACAAAACTGATGCTGTCTCAGCTTTTCTGCTGCTCACATTTATTTCAATTTGTATTTTTCAACTAAAAGCATTTGTGAAAAAGGTACAGTACATATATCCTATGATCTGGCAATTCTGTTCCTAGGTCTTTATCCAGGAAAATGAAAAGATAGAGTTAGCAAAAGCCTAGTACAGGTACCTTTTTGTTTTTCTTCTGGCACCAGGGTTCGAACTCAGGACCTTGCACCTGAGTGGTGGGGCGCCACTGAGCTAAAACCCCAGCATTGTATGATATGTTTATACCAGCTTTATTTATAATGGCCCAAAACTGAAAACACCTCTAGTGTCTATCAAAAAGGATAAACAGGGCTGGGGATTTAGCTCACTGGTTTCGCCGCCTGCTGCGCAAGTGCAAGGACCTGAGTTCGATCCCCAGTACCAAAAAAAAAAAAAGATAAACAGTAGAATTGTACTCAGCAAGAAAGAGAAATAAGCTACATTCAGTCATATTCTGCATGAAAGAAGCTGGTCACCAAAACTTACCTGCTGTATGATATCATTTATATGATATTCTAGATCAGGCAACACTAACCTGCAGTGATAGAATTCCAGTCAGTGGTTCCTTCTGGGGTAGGTGTGTCAAGTGATGAGAAGAGGGGCAGGAGGGGACTTTCGGGAATGATAATGTTCTGTATTTTAATTAATGAGGTCGGGCCTTCTGTAAAGCACAGAGTGTATTAGGGATTGTAATCATAGAAGTAGATTTCCAGCCATGCCCAGGCATTGGCTTTGCCTTATGGATAGTGACTTTGAACAGATCGTATTAAATATTTGATTGACTTGCTGTTCTACATGCAGAGTTTCCTCACAACATTTGAGTGTAATAACCCTGACTCAAACTAGTGAAAGTTTCACTGTAACTTCGGGGAACTCTGTGCCATGCAGGAATAGTCATAGACTCCGGAACTGCCCTCTTGCTGTTAACAAGTAGACAGAGTTGTATATATTACAGCTGTTCTCCAGCACTGGGCAGTAACTAGCATAGGACTTTAATTCCTGAGAGAAGGAAGAAAGCACTTCTCGTAGTACTGTACTTCAGGATGCGGGGGAGGGCAGTAGCCCAGTAGTCTCTCTAAGTTGAGGAGAATCAGGGAAGGTCCAGGTAGACGGGATTTGCTGGGGAGAATACTGGAGAGAGAGGAGGGAACCCAAGAGCATATCTGACTCCTGATCTGTGCATGCACGGGGTAAAACTCCGCAAGGCCAGGCAAGAAGCTGTTGTTAGAACTCAACAGGGCTGGGAGTACTTAGGTTCCCACCACCCAGGATGGAAAGTCCTGACTGGATACACAGAGCATTCAACAGAGAACCCAGAGGACCACACCTTAGTAGTGAGACCAAACTGGCCCTAAGGTAGAGGCCTCTCTGGGTCTGCCCTAACAAAACTTAAAAACTGATCTGTAGGCAACTGTTTGCCAGAGAGAAGTTCAAAGGAATACAACAAAATCCAAAATACTGGACATGGAAAGAAGTAGGAAAATGTGGTCCGTAACCAGGAGGAAAATCAGTGAGAAGAAGCGAGCCCAGCCTGGGGCGGCGGCACACATCTCGGAATACCAGCACTCTGGGAGGCTGAGGCAGGATGACAAGTTTGAGCCCAGCCAGGGCGACAAAGCAACTTAGCAAGACCCAGTCTTAAAATTAAAAAATCAGAAAAGGTGCTGGGAGTGCAGCAGAATGCAAAGGCCCTGGGTTCAGTCCCCAGCACCCTCCCCACCTCCAAAAGACAGCTGTTATATGCCCAAGGATTGAAAGGAAAACATGTACTTAGCAAGGAAGGAAGGGAAAGATATCAAACAGAAGCAAATGGGACATCTAAAAATAGCTCTAATATCTGAAATGAAAATTTCATTGGAGGATTAATAGCAGATCAGACCTGCAGAAGGAAAAAGCAGTTAACTCAAGTCAGTGAAGTATGAGTGTACAAAAGGCAGAGAGAAAAATTACTGAAAGAAAAATAAATAGAACCTTAGGGTGGGAGAATACCAAGCAGTAAGAAACTTATAATTCAAGTCCCAGAAGGGGAAAGAAGAGGCAAAAAAAAAAAAAAGAATAAATAATGCCCCCCCCACTTTTTTTTGGTACTGGGGATCGAACACAGGGCCTTGCATTTGCCAGGCAGATGCGATGCCACTGAGCCATATCCCCAGCACCAATTTTTTATTATATGTTTGTCATTAAAGATTATCTCCAGGTTAGGAGTGCAGCTCAGTTGTAGATTATAAGAAAACCCTGGGTTCAATCCCCAGCACAAAAAAAAGATTTTCATGGTAGCCGTAAGAGAAAATTATTTCATCTGTATCATTTAAGAAGAATTACATGAAAAATTATTAGATTGAGCTAGGTGTGGTGGCTTATGCTTGTATTCCCAGCTCTTGGGAGGCTGGAATAGGAGCATTATGAGTTCAAGCCCATCCTGAACCACACAGTAAGACCTTGTCTCAAAAAACAAACAGGCCCAAGGATTTAGCTCAGTGGTTCCAACTCCTGCCTTGTAAGTGCAAGGTCCCGAGTTCGATCCCCAGTACCAAAACAACAAAACAAAAAAAAACAACCACAAACTAAACTGTCCAAAAAACGAGAAGAATTGAATATTATTCATGTCACATTGTGTGGAGTATATTTAATAACAGCAAAGTATTCTTTTACTAGTTCCTGTTTGATTTGCTCTTATTTGCAACTAATGTAAGTCAAATATTAAATTATAATGTATCCTCTGCCGGGCATAGTCCTACACATCTCTAATCCCAGCACTCGGGAGACTGAGGCAGGAAGATCTCTGTGAGTTCAAGGCCGGGATGAACTACATAGCAAGACCCTGTCTCAAATAAATAAATAAATAAATAAAAATTTTAAAATTATAATGTATGCTGTGAATGGATTTCTGATTTTTATGCTGTAAAAATATTTTGTATTTTTATATAGCTTCAGAAGAACTGACTATTGCCGGTATGACTTTTACAACTTTTGATCTGGGTGGACATGTTCAAGGTAACATTCTATATTATTCTTATAATCTCTTAACTTAATAAAAATATGGCCATTATATTCTAATGCATGAAATGCCATTCCATTTAAGGGAGGCCACATTGGACCGAAAGTTTAGGGGTTCTTACTCCCAGGTAAATGCTTTCCAAGCAGAGGTGGTTTCCGTGACAGCACTGGTCAGTGTAAGTGTGAGGTGCTTGTGGTATGTAGCTTCCGATCTCTCCCTCCACACCACCCAGCCCTGCTGTCACACTCACATCCCGTCACGGACACACAGATCAGACACCTTCTGTGGGTAACTGCACTCCCTACAGTGCAGGAGCCAGGCTCATCCAGCTCTGGTCTCTGCTGTGTCCTGTCTTTCCCTGACACACCCCTTCCCACTCTCTGCTCTGGCCACACCACCCCTCCTGTCCCTGCCTGCCACCCTTGGGGCCCAGTGCTTTTGGGCTCCCTGGGAAGCTGGTCCCAGCTGAGAACCTTACCCAGCACTGCTGTCCGGTGTCTCTGACTTCAGCCCTGTCACTGGAGACATCAGAGCGTGAATTTGGCCCACGTATGTGTGTGTGCACATTTCCACCACTTGTATTTTAGATTTATTTAGCCGCAGTCTTGCAGGGAACTAAACCTGCCTCCTGGTCCAATGTAGATTTTTTTTTCAGTACTGGGGATTGAATATAGAGCCTTTGTCCTAAGGTACATCCTCAGCTCTTTTTATTTATTTTTTTTCCAGTAGCGGGGATCAAACTCAGGACCTTGTGCTTGCGAGGCAGGTGTGGTGCCACTGAGCTAAATCCTTGGCCCAGCCCTTTTTAAATTTTTATTTTGAGACAGAGTCTCACCAAGTTGTCCAGACTGGCAATGAACTTTCAATCCTCCTGCCTTAGCCTCCCATAGTGTTGGGATTACATGTGCCTGGCAGAATTTTTTTATCTATCTTTTTGAAACAGAGTGTCTCTGTGTAGCTCAGGCTGGCTAGGATTATAGGCATGCGCCACCATGCCAGGCTTAATTCTCCTCACCTGGGAAAATTGGGGAAGGCTAAAGTATTTGACTCACCCACAATATGGAAAACCTAAAATTTCTTCTTTGGCATTCTGGAAAGATTTTGGCTGCACTGGGTAATATATAATATATAATATAATAGTGAATATATAGTGAAATCACAGCAGCTAATTAAAGGATAGGATAGCTGCTCTTTTTTCTTTTTTTTTAAACAGGGTCCTGCTATGTAGTTCAGGCTGGCATCGAGCTCATGGTGATCCTCCTGCCTCAGCCTCCCAAGTGCTAGGATCACAGGTGTGCACCTCCACGTCCAGCAGAATAGCTACTCTTGATCTTCTGAGGGACTCTTCAGGCAAACCATCTGCTAGGCTTGACCAGCAAATAAATTCTAATTCCTGATTGTTTTTGTTAGCTCGAAGAGTTTGGAAGAACTACCTTCCTGCTATTAATGGCATTGTATTTCTGGTGGATTGTGCAGACCACGAAAGGCTGTTAGAGTCAAAAGAAGAACTTGATGTAAGTGAAATAATTAAAACTAAGCACAGTAAATAACCTGATAAACCTGAGGAAATAGGTAAGAGATGGGGCTGTCCGGGGCAGCTCTTCTGCAGTCCCTGATGCACCTCCTGGCAGTTGCTGTAAGCAGCGATGACTGCTTGGATGCGGAGCGAGCAAGTCTTCAGGATGGTCGCTCCTTCTGTTGGAGGCTCTGACACAGATGTCTTCCTGGACTTGGGGCCGCTCACTCTCCACAGGGCGGCCTTCTATGCATCTCTTGTCTGCAGCCGTCCTGGCCGGGGTGAGCCCAGGCCCTGGTCACCCTAAGATGCCATTTCTTTGGGCCTAGGCCCGAATCTGGAAATGATGTGGCGTGCCGCCTTTGTCACCACTTCCACATGTTCTTGAGCTCCGCTTCCCTCCTAAAGGGGCTCAGGAGCAACAAGCAAGGCTGCAACTAGACCTGGGCACAGAGTAGGTGGCCTTGATTCGAAGGGTGGCCTGACTGTAACTACCCAGAGCGGGCAAACAGATCCTTGTTCACGTGGGAAGCACCACATAGGTTGGGGGACAGGGTCAGCGAGGTCCTGATGCCCGCTTCGTGCCAGGCCCTGGTCTAGTGCAGTCACGTCACCCCGCTCTCGGATTGCCTCCATGAGATAGCTGCTGCTCGCCCTGCTCTCTGTGCACTTCCCTCGTGCTAACAACCGTGCCTCCGAGGCAGCAGAGCCAGAAATGAAACCAGGTCTGCCCACCTCCAAGGTGTTGGCTCTGGCCACTGTCCTGCACTGATTTAGGCAGGGAGCAGAGAGCATTTCCAGAATGAGCCTAGAAGATACCAGTTGGACTGAGGGTTTCACTGTGCGCATTTTAAGATGTGGGGAAAGTTTGCCAAAGAAAGTCTGCATGGCATGATATTAGATTTCAGTTTTGTTTGGGTTTTTTTTGGTACTAGGGATTGAACTTGGGATCTTGTGCTTGCGAGGCAGGCGGCAGCTCCTTTGAGCTAAATCCCTGGCCCCTGGCATGATATTAGAGAACAATTCCTTGACTGTCTTGTCAAAATAAGCCCTTTGGATGGTTTCGAATCACTTTGTCTTCTTTTGTTTTCAGTCACTAATGACAGATGAGACCATCGCTAATGTACCTATCCTGATTCTTGGGAATAAGATTGACAGACCTGAAGCCATCAGTGAAGAGAGGTTACGAGAGGTGTTTGGATTGTATGGTCAGACAACAGGAAAGGTAAAAAGAGAGACAGACAGATGAACAAAGGAAAAATAATGAGCATGGTGGACACCTGTAATCCCAGCTAATTGGGAGGCTGAGGCAGGAGGATTGCAAGTTGAAGGCCAGCATGGGCAGTTGAGCAAAGAACCTGTCTCAAAATTCTTTAAAAAATTATTTTTTAAAGGCTAGGGATGTAGCTCAGTAGTAGACCACTGAGACCCTGGGTTCACTTCCCAGTATTGCCAAAAAACCTGACAAGTGTGAATACTAATCCTGCAGTATAAAGGTCTTCTTAAATTACTTTTTTTTTTGGAGACAGAGTCTCTCTATAGTTCAAACTGGCTTTGAACTCACTATGTAGCCTATGCTGGCCTCGAGCTCGCAGCAATCCTGCCTGTGCCTCCCAAATGCTGGGATTATAAGTGTGTACCACCATCCCTGGCTTAAATTACTGTTAATTGAGCTTGTCCAATTATACAACTCTTTTTTCCTAAAAAACTATCATTTAGTCTTTATACTAAGTGAAAAAAGAACTTTTTATCATTAGGCTTGTTGATGCACACTTGTAATCCCAGGTATCTGGGCGGCTGAAGACAAGCTCAACAATAGGTTTTAGCAAGACCCTGTCACAAAGTAAAAAAATGAAAACGGGTTGGGGATGTAGCTTAATGTGAAAGCTCCAGTACCAAAAAGAAAAATTAAGAAAGAGATGTAGGGATATAGCTTAATGCAAAGGCCCTAGGGTCAATCTCCAGTACCACACACACGCACACACACACAGAAAGAAACAGGCTCAGAAGTGACAAAGAGGATGGAATTAGCAGATAAGGACATTCAGAGGCCCAGTGGCACACACCTGTGATCCCAGCACTCTGGAGACTGAGACAAGGGGATCACTAGTTGAGCCTAGCCTGAAGGATTTAGTGAGACCCTGTCTCAAAAACTGGAAAAGGGGGCCAGGGATTTAGCTCAGTGGTTCCACTGCCTGCCCTGCAAGCACAAGGACCTGAGTTTAATCCCTGGTACCAAAAAAAATAAAATAAAATTGGAAAAGGGCTGGGGATGTAGCTCAGTACAAAGGCCCTAAGTTTGATCCTTAGTACCACCAAAAATAAATAAATAAATAAAAACCAAAGCTAAAGAAACCTAACATTTATACATTTGAATCATTTTTGTTATGTATTTATGTATGCAGTACTGAGGATTGAACTCAGGACCTTTGCCCTGAGCACATCCCCAGCCCTTTTAATTAATTAATTAATTAATTAATTAATTTGTTACTTTTGAGACAGGATCAAAGTTGCCAAGTTGCCTAAGCTGGGCTCCAACTGTGATCTTCCTGTCTCAGCCTCCTGGAGTTCTGGGATGACAGGCATGCATCACTATACCTGGCTTGATGAGTCTTTTAAATGTGTTCATTTCCTTCTACTACTGAATGAAACCTTTTCCTAGGGATAACAAGAATGTCAGGGCCCAGTGAAGGTTTCAGAATTTTGAGTGTCATAAATTTTCAGAATTAGCTACCGTGGCTGGGAATGGAGTTCAGTGGTAGAGGATGTCTTGGATTCAATCCCCAGACCACTGAAAACACAAAATGAAAGATGCTAGGCGTGGCGCACACCTGCAGTCTTAACACTCAGGAGCTGAGGCAGGACCATCACCAGTTCCAGGCCAGCCTGGGCCACAAGTGAGACTGTCTCAAAAAAAGGCCACAAAATTATACAGGTGAGTGTGTGAGTACATCAGTATTGTGTGAGACCCCGAGTTCACCAGAGATAAGAAAGACAGAAACTTGGGCATAGGATTGTTACTTTTTCTCTGAACATAAACTTTATAGTAAGCTTTAAGATGAGGATTTTGTTTTTGAGGTTGGGAATTGAACCTGGAACCTCACTATGCTAACCATGTGCTCTACACCTGAGCTACATCCCCAGCCTCCAAGTCGCCTTATTTTTGTGTTCATTTATACTATGATTTAAGAAGTGGGGGAACATTAGTACTGGAAAATCCCAAATAAACAATGGAAGAACTCCATAGTTTATAAACAGAATGTTGTTGGTTTAGATCTATTCTTTCAAGACAGAGAAATATTGTGCCCCCCCCCTTTTATTTGAGACAATGTCTTGCTAAATCCCTAAATTGGAGGCCGCAGCAGAGGGATTGGCGCAAGCCTGAGGCTATCCTGGGGTACATTGCGAGTTCAAAGCCAGGCCAAACTACATAGTGAGACCCTGTCTCAAAAAAAAAAAACCCTAAATTGCCCAAATTGGGCTCAAACTTGTATCCTCCGGCCTCAGCCTCCTAGAGTGTGGGGATTTCCAGCATACAACACTATACCCAACTTCTATGTCTTTTCAGTAAGTGAACTCCACATTTACTTTAGGAAATGCTTTGTTTGGTCATAAACCTACTTAGAATGTTTGTCCTTTTTTGGTTTTTTGAGATAGGGTCCTGCTATGTAGTTCAGGTTGGCCTTGAACTCACAGTGATCCTCCCGCCTTGGCCTCCTGAGTGCTGGGATCACAGGCTTGCACCACCATCCCCAGCTGTCCTTAATATCAATAAATCAGGTACTGGGGCCAGGGCTTTAACTCAGTGGTGCTGCCACCTGCCTTGCAACCTCAAGGTCCCGAGTTCGATCCCTGGGACCTAAATAAATAAATAAATAAAAATAAATGAAATAAAAAATAAATCAGATACTATTTTTGTGTACCTACCAAGCTCACTCTTTCCCACTGAGTGACCATCCCATGCTAATGTAGAGTGAGAAAAGGAGGCCTCCGTGTGTTTTGAGGACTTTGATGCCAAGCAGTCATAGCTTTATCATAATGACCCTTTGTTCAGAATTGATAATCTGTTGGGAATGGGCCTTTCATTTCTTTTTCTTTTTTTATTTTTCTTTTTCCTTTTTGGTTTTTGAGTCAGGGTCTTGCTATGTAGTTCAGGTTGGCCTTGAACTCACTATGTGGTCCAGGCTGGCCACAAAATCACTGATCCTCCTGCCTTGGCCTCCTGCCTAGTTTGTAATCCTGCCGGGATACAAGGATGCGCACCACGCCTGCTGCAAGAACCTTTTGCTTCATAAAGGTCCAACATAATGTCTTCTTCTCTTCCAGGGCAGTGTATCACTGAAAGAGCTGAATGCCCGGCCCTTAGAAGTCTTCATGTGCAGTGTGCTCAAGAGACAAGGCTATGGGGAAGGCTTCCGCTGGATGGCGCAGTACATCAATTAACACCAGCCCACGCCAGCTTGGCTCGCAGGCCTGCTCAGAGATTTGATTGCTCAACATGCATAACTTGAATTCAATAGACTTTTGTTGGTTTTAAAATAGATATTTTTTAGACTATTAATATTACATCAACATAATTTGAGAATTGAAAACTGAATATTGCAATGTTAGTTTCTAATTCCATACAGATAGTTTTTACAGTTTATAATCCGACATCACCCCAGCACCATTTATAAAGAGCAACTTTCCAGCAGTACATTTGAAGCACTTTTTAACAATGTGAAACTACAAATATAAACCATGTTTCAAAGCTGCTCATGTTCAATTTTTTATGTACTTTTTTGGAACTAGTTTTTAAATTTTAGATTATATGTCCACCTGTCTTAAGTGTACAGTTAATAATTAGCTTATCTATGATTGCATGATGCCTTACAGTTTGCAATAATGCTTTTCTTATGCAAACGTCATGCAATAAAACAAACTCCAATGTGTGGCATCCTTATTGGGCAAATATTTCCTTTGAATGTGTCTTGTCTAGCTAGCATCTCTGAAGACGTAAGTATTTAATATTAGCCCCTTGAGAAGGCTGTTAGGAAAGGAGATACCTTCCGAAGACGCAGGATTGTGTGTGACCCTGGAGGCTTGCGCATTTCCCAGGAGCCGGCCGTGGTTTCCAGTGCGTGGTGAGCCATGCTGCTCCCTCAGCTGTCTCACGGTGAGGTGATCCAGTCTTACTGGCGGCCAGCTCGGAAGTAGTGACCGGCACCAGCCCCGTCTCTCTCTGAGGCTCCTGGGCAGGGCAAGCGGCAGGTGAACGCGTGCAGTTTTACTGTGGAGACCAGCTTGTCCCGTGGGCGTCTTGCTCCCATCCTGTAGCTCCTTTGCATTCTTTGGCACATTTTTTCCTGGTAGAAAGAGAATGAATCCTTGTTTTTAATGTTTTCTTTCCTCAATTGCTCTCAGCTAGACTTGTTTTAGGGTAGAATGCCTGCTGGGCAATAGTGTCTGCAAGCCTGACTGCTGCCCTTACTAGTAAAATGTCAGCTTTTCATTGTTGGGGTTTGTTGCTGTTGTTTTCGAGACAGGGTCTTGCTGTATAGTCCAGGCTGGTCTTGAACCCACTATGTAGCCCAGGCTGGCCTCGAACTCAGTCATCCTCCTGCCTCAGCCTCCCAAGTTCTGGGATTATAGGCATGTGCCACCACATCCAGCTCTCAACTGCATTTTTTTTTGGTACCGGGGATCGAACTTGGGTCCTTGCGCCTGCGCAGCGGGCAGCAAAACCACTGAGCTAAATCCCCGGCCCTCTCAACTGTATTTTTAAAGATTCTCAAGTTTAAGATTTCTCTTCTGATTATAAACCACGCTATTTATTTTTTTCTTTTCAGTAGAGGGGATCAAACCCAGGGCCTTGCACATCCTAGACAAGCACTCTACCACTGAATTACTGGACATCTCAGCCCTTTTTTTTTTTTTTTGGTACCAGGGACCAAACTCGGGACCTTGCGCTTGTGAGGCAGGTGGCGGAACCACTGAGCTAAATCCTTGGCCCCTCTTTTTTTTTTTTTTGAAGCAGTGTCTAAGTTGCCGAGGCTGGCCTTGAACTTGTGATCCTCCTGCCTCAGCTTCCCAAGTAGCTGAGATTATAGGTGTGTGCCACCACACCTAGCTTAAAGCAAGTGTTTGTAGTAGTTTAACCAATTCCACTGAGTTGGACCATGCCAAGAACTTGTTCAGTTTCATCAAGAATCATTTTAAGGTCACGACGAATACCCCTGGAGCCACTGTGCAGTCAGAGCTGTGGTCCTGGGTGGTGATGAACCCCACAAAGCACATGCAGGCTGAGCAGGTGACCGGAAGGAGCTGGTGTGCCAAGCCGAAAAGGTCTTTTCTAACTTTTGGTTTTAGCAACTTGGCTGTTCTGTTTCACTTTCACATTCTTTCTAAATGAAAATAGCTTGCTTCTTCCACGCCTGGAGACATCATTAGTGCAAAGGGAAAAGTTGAAAACGCCCAGCCTGCCAGCTCTTCTGCAAAGAGTTCTGGCGCAGAGCTCAGCCTCGCCGAAAGCCCTTAGCCACGCCTTGCTGCTCTGCTTTCGCAGTCCTCACTTCAGGACCCGCTGTGTCTCCCATGCTGAGACACCTGCATCCACCCTGCCAGGATCCCAGGGGGTTGCCTCGCGTCTCCCGGAGGCCAATTCGAACTGACCCGCTTGCCCCATCCATGTCTGGGACAGCTTCACTTTGTGCCGAAAGACTAAAATGTAATCATTGACACTCGTGTAAAGTCAAGACTGGACTCCATGCAAATCAGCTGTGCAAAAGACGTTTTAAAATCTGAAGTCCAAAACTAAAAATATCATGTCTCGAGCCCACTTTTTTTCTCTTTTTTTGGTACCGGCGATGGAACTCGGGACCTTGCGCTTGCGAGGCAGGCAGCAGAACCACTGAGCTAAATCCCTGGCCCCCCACTTTGATTTTAAAGAGATTCTCATTTCACACCTGTCTCAGTCTTTGCTATTAATTATACTTTTGGATCATAACTGGTTAAGTGGATAGGTTCCAGTTTATCTCAGTCAATTTTTAGAATGGAGATCACTTTTAAATTGGATAAGGCATTTCCTAAAGTGTATTAAAGTATTCTTAACCAGCTGGGTGTGGTGGCGCACACCTGTAATCCCAGCACTCGGGAGCCTGAGGCAGGTAGATTGCTGGCAGTTCAAGGCCAGCCTGGGCTACATAGTGGAACCCTGTCTCAAAACAAAACAAAACAATAGTCTTCTTAACCATTGCCTTAGTTGACCCAGTGTCTTCATGTAAGTGTCGAAGATGTGTGAATTCAGGTATTGACTGCAGAGATCTAAATTTTAGTTTTTTGTGTCTGCTTCCATATACAAGTTTATTATGGTCTACAACATAAAAGTAGGATATTGTTTCTTTTCCATGGTTTTCAACTGGCTGTATGTCCCTGTAGTGCTTTCTAGCATATAAACTACTTATATAAATCATTGAAATAGAATGATGGCTATGCTAACAGTGTTTCTTGCCTTCTAGAAAATGATTTCGTCAACCACATTCAAATCCTAGTATTAGGCTGTGCATAGCTCAGTGGTAGAGCACTTGCCTAGCATGTGTGAAGCCCTGGGTTTGATCCTCAGCACAGCAAAAGAAAAAGAAAAATCATTTTTACATCTTCCATCATTGAAAACAGTGTACTTCTAGTTATCATTTCAGGGGAAACGTTTACATTTTTTTCTGAAACTCAGTGTGGTGTTTCAGTCTTGTTAATCACTTACACAACTGAAGTTTGTAAGAATGTTTGCCAAATAAAAGTTGATCAGAATACACCAAGATTGGCTTATATTCTCTTTAAAATCCCTGTTACTAAAAATGTATTGTTTGGGTCATTCTAGACATAGGTAAAAATTTGGGTGGTGATTCACAAAATCTTTAAGAAAGCATGAAAAAATGGATATTAGCAAATATAAATTCCTTAATGCAAAATGAATAGGGAATAAAAGATCGCTTATGTTAAGATTTTAAAAAACAGATTTTGCTATAATCTTCTTGTTCAGAAAAACTATTTCAATCAAGGACTAAATTATCAAAACTGCATGTTGCTGCTTCTGCTCATTTTTCTTTTGAAATTAAGTTGGTGCTTCTTAACAAAAAAGGAAAAAAGCAAGCTCTTGGAGTGAGTGGCTGGACCTCAGTGTAGAAGACTGGGATTCGGTTAAAATCCCACATCCCTGCCCACGAGCATTCCCACCTCACGCTTGCATTCCAAAGCTCCCAGTGTGAAGGGAATGCACAGTGCTGAAGGTGCAGTTCTGAACCAAGGGCTTCTGCTCCTTCTTCGTTCAGGACAGTAACTGGCTAACACACTCACTGTCGCTGATGGTTGTTCAGGACTGTGACCACACTTTAAAATTGAATCGAAAGTAATGAAAGTGAGCAAGGTTATCCAAAGCAAACTGTTTTAGGTACTCCCACCCCTAATAGACTTTAGGGCAGAAACAGAAAATTGATTTTGTGCAGAATTATTTTGGGGAGAGCTATACTGGAGTATGTGGATTCTTCAGCATGTACTTTCAGTGAGGAATTAAGTTTAATTTTAGTTTTAAATATCTTGGGGTAAAAGAGGGTGACAATTTTTTGTTTCTGACATAAGGCTTTGGTGGAGTGTGTCCATTATCAGGTGTAAAGATTCGCTGCTTCTCCTGACCTCGTGAGCCCTCGGGGGACGATGCTCTCAGTGCTCCAGAAGTGACAGGGGCTCGGCTGAATGCACAGTGTGTCTAAGTGGCAAGGCAGTGATAGTCATTCATCACTAACCGTGTTTGCACTTTCCCACACCACCATTTGCACTAGGACCTTAGTGTGAATTTTAACAGTTGTTTTAGGGTATATACAGATTGTTAAGCGTAATTTATATGAACATGTTTCTGTTTGCCTTTGTGTGTTTTACAAAGAACAGCTATAATAAATGGTTAAATTTTTTGAGTTGTGTGTATGTTATTTTGATTATGTTCTATTATCTTTCCACTCCCTATGAATTTGAGTGTCAGGAATAGAAAAATAAAATGCTAACCTGATCTTTGAAGAACTTTAGTGTCTAGTTCTATTTTGTTGTTGTGTCTGAGGTTTGGTTTGGTTTGCAGTGCTGGGGGTGGAACCCACAACCCCGAACATGCTAGGCAGGTGCCTTGAGGCCCAGTTCCGTTTTCTTTTGTTTGTGTGTTTGTTTTTGAGATAGATCTCACTATGTAGCTCAGGCTGGTCTTGAATTCACTATGTAGCCTAAACTGGCCTTGAACTCAGTGATCCTCCTGCCTCAGCCTCCTGAGTGCTGGGATTACAGTTGTGAGCCATCATGCCCGGCTGTTTTTCTTATCTGCCTCTAATTTTCATTTTGTTCTTATGAAATTTCTTGGACTTTGAAAACTACAGCAGAATAGCTGTGCAATCCTGTAATCCTAGTTCCTCAAAAGGCTGAGGCAGGAAGATCACCAGCTGGAGGCCAGCCTGGGCAACCGAACAAGATCGGGTCTCAAACTTTAAAGAGGGCTGGAGTTGTAGCTGGATTGTAGAGTGCTTACCTAGCATGCTTGAGGGCATGGGTTCCACTTCTAGCACCTCAGGAAAGAAAGGACATCACTAAGCCAGGAAAACTCCCTTAGTGCAGGAGCCCCAGTTCACCAACAACCTACAGGCAAAACGCAGTAGGACTTACATACACAGTGGCGACTTCGCAGAAGTATGAAAAATAAGGCAGCTAGTTGGTCTTATCTACATAAAAGTTCGTTAACTTCGGTATACACAGAGTATCCTGGGAAGCTTAAACATTTTTTTTCCTTTTTTGTTTGGGGCTTTTTTTTTTGGTACCAGGCATCAAACTCAGGACCTTGCACTTGCGAGGCAGGTGGCAGAACCACTAAGCTAAATCCTTGGCTTTTCCTTCTTTTTAAAAATTTTTTTTTCTATTTTTAAAATTTTGTCCCATTAAGTTTATTGCTACATTTTAGGTATAAAATACAGTTACATTCATCATTGGGAGCTTGTACCTTTAACGTGATGTACCTTGGTTCTTATTTTTTCCCCCTTACCCAAGCCCTCCCTTCACCCCCTCCACCCCTCCCTATTTGCAAAGACTTTGTTTCCATTTTTTTCCTTTTCTCATATTTTTTTCTTTTCCCTTCTTTCCTTTCCCGTACCCCTCCCACTTCCCTTTACTCCTTTAGACCTTTTCTTCCTATTACACAATATCAATTATACATTTTTAAAGTTACAATATCAAGATCTAGAAGACATTTTTAAAAGCTTCCCAATAGCCAGTTTCATTTTGTCTTCCAAGGTACTTCTGGGAAGCATTTTTTAAAAAATAAAAAAATAAGGGCCAGGGATTTAGCTCAGTGCCAGTGCACCTGCCCCGAAAGCACAAGGTCCTAAATTCAATCCCCAGTAACAAAAACAAAAACAAAACAAAATTTCCACGAGAGACAATGACTCAATAAATGGGGTAAAAACCTGAATTTTTTTAACCAAATTCTCAGGTTTTTCTAATGCTGGAGTCGGGATTTTTCATGTAGGAGAAGCATCGGTATGATAATACAATACTGATAATAACAAATTATCATTGGCTGTGAAGCAGAAAATAATTATTTGGGTAAGGATTATCAGGTGACTTTTGTTGTTCTGTTTTCACTGTGAAATCGGGCACTTGAACCCAGGGCCTTGCGCTTGCTAGGCACATGCTCTACTACTGAGCTGTATTCCCAGCCCCTCAAGCTAGTTTTGAGAACTGAGTCTTAAATGTAAGACCTGTCTGCAGCCATCCCTGTAACCTTCTCTGCTTTATACTAGCTCTTTTAACGTGGCTCACTGCTCTAGTACAATCGAGCCCATCAAAGGAGAGGTTGACCTGGACTCTTCAGTTACTGGTTGAATTGAAACCAACACGTAGATGGGAACAGTGAATGAACCAAAGGGATGGGTGCTAAGAAAATAAAGTCTAGGGCTAGGGATTTAGCTCAGTGGTTTCGCCACTTGCTGCTCAAGCTCAAGGACCCAAGTTCGATCCCCGGTATCAAAAAAAAAAAGGTCTTGTTTTCTTTTTTTTGGTACCAGGGATCGAACTCAGGTCCTTGTGCTTGCGTAGCAGGCGGCGAAACCACTGAGCTAAATCCCCGGCCCTGTCTTGCTTGTTTTCTTGAATTCAGCAACATAATCTTCAGCTAGACTCTTGGACACCTGCTGTGTTGGTTACTTTTTTCTCTTTGCTGAGACAAAATACCTGACACCCAAAGTTAGAGGGGAAGGGGTTTATTTGGCTTACAGTTCATAGAGGTTTCAGTCCACAATTGGCTGGCTACAAGGCAGGGATGGTAAACAGGCCTCGAAAAGGAGAAGCAACACAGCATTCACAAGTCAGCAAAGCTAACAAAAGACCTTCACCCTGTCTTTCAGCCTCTTTTATCCCACCCAGACTGCCGGGATTAGGGCGGTGCCAACCCACTCACTCACATGTAACGGTTTAGTAATCACATCCTCAATCCCAGCATCACACATTCCAGATTCAGCTGCGCTGACCGCATGGGCTTTGGGGGGGGGGGGACATCTAGTCCCAAACCCTAGCACCTGTGCTAGGAACACAATCCGTGCAGGGCCACAGCTCGCAGCCAGGTGTGAGGAGCATCTTTTTGGGAACAGGGCAGTTTCCCAGGAAATCAATGTAAGTGGAGCCGTGGGTGGTGCCACCAGGCCCCTAGTTGAAGGTGGGAACAGCAAACTGAAAATGATGCGAAGATTAGAAACAAAAGGTCCTAGCTGGGGATTTAGCTCAGTGGTTTGCCACCTGCCTCACAAGTGCAAGGTCCAGAGTTTGAGCCCCAGTAGCCCCCCGCCAAAAAAAGGTCCCAGGCTGGGGCTGCAGCTCAGAAGTAGAGCACTGCCCTAGCCCCAGCCTTTGGAAGGCCGGGTTTAATGCCCAGTGGTACCAGACAAACAGGAAACAACTGGCAGAGCCTATGTTTACTAAACCTCTTAATTAATTTACAATCACACACAAGGGCAGTCATTTTGTGGTTCTTATTTAGTAAACAAGCCTTACCTGGACCATAGGTTTTTAGTTTGAGGTCACTATACAGAATGATTTAAGATGTTCACTGAAGTCACTATGGCTTCAGTGATGACAATATGCCAACAAAAACAAGTTGCAAAAAGAGCTGGCGATTTAGCTCAGTGGTTTCGCCGCCTGCTATGCAAGCGCAAGAACCTGAGTTCGATCCCCGGTACCAAAAGAAAAAGAAAAAAAAAAAAAGTTGAAGCAAAAAGAAGCAAGTTTCCTTGCTCGATTCAAGTTTTGTCGGGGTTGTGTTAATGGATAACAGATTTCTCCAGCCACACTTTGCATGTGGCATGTTACATGGCTATCAAAAGGGAAGAAAGCGGGCTGGGGATTTAGCACAGTGGTGCTGCCTCTTGCCTCGAAACTGCAAGGTCCTGGGTTCAATCCCAGTACAAAAAAAAAAAGGAAGAAAAGGAAGTGGTGGTACATGACAGCAATTCTAGCACTCTGGAGGCTGAGGCAGGAGGGTCACCGTGAGTTTGTGGCCAGCCTGGGCTACAAACCCTGACTCAATACACTGGGCGGGGTGGGGGGGAGGGAATACACTGGAAGAGAGAGAGAGAAAACAAGGAAGTACTCAAAGAGTGATGGTACCCTGTCTCAAAAAAACAGAAGGGGGAAAGATAATTGCAAGTTAGGTATCAATGGGCAGGGAAAAAGTACTTGATGGCAGTAAAATGGAGACTTTTTATTGTTTTCTTGAGCTAAGGGAAATTTAATGTGACTTTCAATGGAATCATAGCTCTGTTTCCCAACACATAACGCTGAGGGAACATTACCAAGTATCGACACCCTTTCAGGGATTCCCCTACATCCTGCTTCTGCTTTTGAGACAGGTCTGGTTTATCCAGGACGGCTTAAACTCCTGGGCTCAAAGGACTCTAGTGCAGCTCCCCCCTGGGAAGCCAGACACAGGCGCATCCCACAGAAGCCCACGGGTTTCAGCACATCTGTGGCCCCTGGAACACAAGATGACCTCCCCCAGTCTGTGGTCCTGAATTTTGAGAACCAGGGTCCCTCTGGGCGAAGGGCAAAGATGAGGAGCTCCAGCCTCATCCAGGGCCGCAGGGCAGAGCGTCTGCGGGTGGGAGTCTCTCTGGGGCTAGGGCTCCAGTTACACACACAGCTGGGGCAGCTCCCGAAGAAAACCACACAGGGCTGCTTTCTGTCCTGACTGCTGGCAGAGATGGCCCAGACAGGAAGCTATTTAGAGAACTGTCTCAGTTTTTCTCCACCCCAGCTTCTATTTGGGGCCCCTTGAGTCCCCTGAGAATCAAGTGGCCAGGGAGCTGCTCTCAGACTCCCAGGGGCCTCTACCTGCCCTTTGCGCTGGAGAAGCAATGCTTTGCCTTCTTGATGACTCCATGTCAGGGCAGCCTTTTTACCCATCATTCCTTGTGATGGGCCCCTACACACTAGACTCTTATTTTCTTTCTCACACAAAACCTTATACAGTATAAGGGAAAAAAACAATAGAGCCGGGTGTGGTGGTGCATGTCTGTGACCCCAGCACTCGAGAGAGAGGCTGAGGCAGGAGGATCACCCTGAGTTTGAGGCCAGCCTGGACTACATAGTGAGACCCCATCTCAAAATAAAAACAAAACAAAACAAAACAAAACAAACCACTTTATATAAGGGAAATGAATAGTTTTGGCAGGCATTTAACCAAGTGTGTGCTCAGTGCTGGATTCAGGCGTGGACGTTTGGCCTCACTTTCCATCTGCCTTCCCTTGGGTAGTCACTCAGCAGGCATTTTCTGAATGGCTTGAAGTTGTGAGTAGCAGGTGTTTTGTCCCAGCAACGAGAAAGCTGACTAGTACAGCACCCCACCCCAGGCCCCAGGGCCTCACACTTGGGTTAGGGCAGGGGTCTGGCCCACAAATCAGCACCCCTTCCCCAGCCTCCTAGGACTTTGCTGCAGTAAAAAACAGCGCAAACATCAGGGCTGGAAAGGGGGGGTCATCACACACCCAGTATATCCAGCACCTGACCCCAGAGTCGGTCCCTAGGGCTCAGAATAGCAGTTCGGAGCACCTGCAGGTGGAGGTGTGTTCTGCTGCGTGTGCTCTGCTCTGTCTTGTCCCTTGGCCTCCCCTGCACACCCTGGGCTGCTCCTCAGTCTCACGTTGATCGCAACGTTCAATCTGGGGCAGGGGAACATTCCTTCTTTGCTAAGGGGGTGTGTGGGGAGACTCCTGGTTCAACTACCCGGGGCGCTCAGGTTGTGAGGCATCTGGTGCACAGGGCGAGCACAGCCAAGGAGGGGCCCGAGGAACTCAGAAAGGGCGGACCCAGCAGGGACCTCGTCTTTATTTCCCGGATGAAGAAAGTGAGGCCCGGAAGGGACCAGTGTGCAGATCCCTAATGCTCTGAGTCCAAGGCCCACACAACTGTATTTCAAGTCACTTCCTTCCTTCTGGCCATTTGGGAGTGAACTCTCTAGACTCGGACGGCCACAGGTAGCTCAATGTTGGCTGAGGACGGAGGGGAGGGGAGAGTGAGGGGAGTTGTCCACTGAATCCAGATTTCTAGACCCAGGACTGCTGTGGCCAAGAAGACAAGTCCCAGATCTACCGGAGAGGCGTGGGCTGTCCCAAGGCCTGGCCAGCCGCATCCCCTTCCTCCCAGCCTCCGTGTCGCGTTCCCGTTTCGCCACCATTGCCCCCTTTCCCAGGAGCCCCTGTCAGACTCCTGTGGCCAGGCTTTGGGGCAACCCCGAGGCCAACTCCTCCCACTGCGAAGGCCCCGCGAGTCTGGCCCAGAAGAGAGTCTCAGGCAGAGGGACTTGGGGCTGTGCAGTTGTCATTCGGGAGAGGACCCTACGGTTCAACAGACAAAAATACAGGACGCGTAAATTAGAATCTAAGATAGCAATGCATAGTTTTGTTTTTGTTTTTGTTTTGTGTGTGTGGTGCTGGGAATGGAACCCAGAGCTGCTCTACCACCCAGCCACACTCCCAGCCCCGAATTGTTCTTTAAGTGTAAGTATCATCCAACACTGTACACTGGATTTCACCGGCAATCCTGGAGTGGAGCCTCCTGCGCTTCACTGCCCTGTGTGCCTGCGTCCTGAAACCTTCATCTCCTCGAAGGGGCCCCCTTTGCCCCTCCCCAGCCGGGCGGAGGCCAGCCCGGAAGGACCCGGCGCTGCCCGTCAATGCCAGCTCTCCGGCGCCTCCTCGCCACTCGGGGCCGGGCACCCACAGGCCTCCGCCGCTTGTTCTCCCCTCCCTGCCTCCCTGCTCCCAAAGGCCGACGGGGAGAGGGCAAGGAGAGGGACAGAGGAGGCTGCGGCTCTCGACTGGGGATGGAGCGTCAGCCCTTAGAGTGAGGTGACGCCACCTGGGCCGGGGCTGGCAGGCAGTAGGTGGCGCCACACACCCTGCCTTGCAGGAGTGGAGCCTGAATAAGGGAAATGGGGAGCACCCCCGGCAACTTCCTCCCCTCCCCGGGTTCTGCAATCTGGGGTTGCCTGGGTGAAGTCCGCCTCCCACGCTGGCCTGGTCTCTCTGGAGAGGTTTGTGTCCCCACCGTGTCCGCAGGGCTCTGCCACAGGTGCTCAGTCCATGCCTGCCTGAAGGAAAGGGGATGAGGGGCACCTGCTCCCAGACGCGCCCCACCAACCCTCCTCAGACGCCTGTGCCATCGCTGGAACGCTCCTGGCCGCCGAGGGGGGCTGGTGCCTCGGTCCTGGGGGGTCTCAGGGGCAGAGACGGCGCAGGCAGCCGCCACAGGGCCTTGTGGAGTTAGAGGTGCAGGAGGGGAGGGGTCCCCCAGGGACTTGGGTGGGAAGGCAGGGCCGGGCCTCCTGACTTCTGCTGTGGAAGTGGCTCAAGGACTCCTTGAGGTTGTTGGGTCAGGTTCTGTGGGAGCTCGGGTGAGTCCCAGGCAGCCCATAAAGAAAAAATGTAGGGCCAGGGATTTAGCTCAATGGTTTCGCTGCCGGCTGCGCAAGCTCAAGAGCCCGAGTTCAATCCCTGGTACCAAAAAAAAAAAAAAAAAGAGAGACAAGTGTTGGAATTTTTTTTTTTTAAAAAAGAAAGAATGTAAAATTTCTCATTCGGAGTTATCTTAAAGCCAAGCCTAGTAGCACACACCTGCAATCCCAGCACTCTGGGAGGCTGAGGAAGAAGGGTTGTTCAGTCTGGACAACTGAAGGACTTAGTGAGACATTGTCTCAAAATAAAAAAGAAGAAAGGGTTGGTCTTGTAGCTGGGTGCCCCAGGTTCGATCCCCAATCCTGAATAGTTACTTTGGGGGCCAGGGATTTAGCTCAGTGGTTCCACCTCCTGCCTCGAAAGCACAAGGTCCCGCGTTTGATCCCCGGTACCAAAAATAACTAACTAAATAAATAAAATAAAAAGTTACTTTGTTTTTCATTTGTTTGTTTTTGCCACAATATGCAGTTTAGGATGGCATTGAACTCTCTATGTAGCCCAGGCAGGCTTCCAACTCTTGGTGATCCACCTGCCTCAGCCTCCTGAGTGCTGGGGATCACAGGTGTATGGCACCACATCCGGCAAAATGTTATTTTAAACTGGGCATGGTGGCACACGCCTATGATCCCAGCACTTGAAAAGATGAGGTGGAAGATTGGAAGCTACAGACTGGAGATGTAGCTCAGAGGTAGGGTGCTTGCTTAGCATGCGGGTGAGGCCTGAGGCTCCAGCCCCAGCACAGACACAAAAAGTTATTTTGTATTGATTATCCAATGTTTAAATGATCATACTTCAAATATAATGGGTTAAATAAATTGTATTATTACAAGTCATTTGATTGGCTTATTTTCCTAAAATGTGGTTACGTGGTGACATGTGACTTAACACTGTCTCTATTGCAGTGCTGCCTCCACCAGAGGTGGCCTGGGCCCTCCTTCCCCAGGTTCATCAGCGGGGCCAGGCTTGGAGGTGTAGGTCTTGGAGTGGGGCCGACAGCATCCTAGCTAGATTCTTGGAGTCCTAGTGTTACGGTTTGGATGTGAAATGTCCCCAAAGGCTCATGTGTCAGCGGTGTGGCTTTCAGGTAAGTGGATCACCAGGGTGCCTGCTCACCCGTGGATGAGTCTAGTGATTTCTTCACAGCTGAACATGTTAGCGTGAGTGGGTCCCCAGGGTGCGCCTCTGGAGGGTGGATGCTTCTCTCTGCTGGCTCCCCTTCCCGGCTGCCATAGGTTGAGCCCCTTTCCTCCACCAGGCCTTTTGTCCCCTTGGATCCAGCCTACCATGGACTCAAACTTCAGAAACCTTGAGCTAAAATCTCTTCTCCTTAAATTGTGTCAGGTATTTTGTCCCGGTGAATGGAAAGTGACTAATACACCCACAACCTTTTCCACATAGCCTTCCCTTGGGCCCTGTTCTGTGAATGACACCTCCTGGCCAGTGTTTGCCTGTGCCAAGCCCTCTGCCAGGAACACAGCCCTGGCCTCCCTGCAGTCCCCTTGGGTCCCCAGCTGTTGAGGCCTTAGATCTGTTGCCCCGCGGTCTGTGAGCACAGCCCGCCAGCACCACGCTGGCGGAGAGGCGCGAGCTGGGTGAATGAGTAAAGGGATGGATGGTGTCACTTTCTTTGAGCTGTGACCTTACTGGGTTGTGAGCAGACTCAGAGCAGGGACAGACGTTCCAGTCCCCACTCTTCCCAGAGCACCTGACACGGAGTAGGTGCCGAGTGACAATGAATGAAAAACAAACCCAGGGAAAAATCCCCAGGGACCTAGACAGGCTGGAGGTAAAGGAGAGCAGCCTTGGAGGGGTGACTTTGGGTTTGTCCCTCAGCCTTCCTGAACCTCAGGGGGTGACACTGTGAAGATCAATGAAATACTGTGCCGGCTTAATGTGCTGACCTGGTATGTACTGAGGCCCACTAGGCCCGGCACTGTCACAGCCCTTTGGGAGGCCAAAGCAGGTCCTTTGGGACTCAGACAGCTCTTGCGGAGACCCCTGTGGGGCGTGTGCGGAGGACGCCAGGGCCCCTACACCAGGCCCAATGGAACGGAGCCCCACACCAGCCACACAGAAAACACTGCTTTATTAACTGCGTTTGCCAACACAGGAGGAGTGAGGAGGGCTCCCCAGGACACAGGCCCTGGCACGGCCCGGGGTCTGGAAGCCCCCATGAGTGAGCAGGGCAGGAGGGGCTGGGAGCTATGCAGCAGCGGCAACACAATCATGCAGGGCACAGCGGGCACTGGCCACACGGAGGCGACCGTACATTCTATTGCTTGTTAAGGGTTGTGAACATGGACAATGTACAAAAAGGAGAAATAGGTCTTTGCGGTAATGAAAAATACATTTTTTCTCTACAAAGGAATCTTTTCTAATACAAGAAAATAAATATTGCAACATAAGCCAAAAATAATTTAAAATTGCTCTTTTCAATATATTTTCAATATTTCTCTTGTATATTAACAAATGGCACATCACTTTCTTTGAAACAAAGACAGAAGGTGTCTCCTCCTGTGACATTCATATCACCCCCTCCGCCCCCCAACGTGATTTGGAGCACACAGGTCTGAGGGTCTGAGGACAAGGGCAGCAGGGGGGCCTTAAAGAACAACGAAAGAAAGGTCCTAGGCTCCAGCCCCAGCTCTGTGGCCAATGTGACCAGCCGGGGCGAGGGCGTGGGAAATGGCCTTGCTGCAGGAATCCAGACCATTGTGCAGAGCTTTGGGTCTGGGCAGAGGCTGGCCACAGCTGGCAGTGAGCCAGGGGATGCCAAGTCCGGCTGCTGCCAACGTCTGTTAGAATCGGGCAGACGGATCTCTAGGAATCGCCCCAGCAATTCCTAGTATGCTTGTACACAACGCAACAAATGTGCACGCGTGGACACAGAAGGCCGTCCTCGCACATCACACACACACACACACGCACACGCACACGCACAAACTACGGCCCAACACCTGCATCTGGAAACCTGGGTGGCTTCTCCAAGGAAGCTGAGGCCTCTAACACTGTCAATGTCAGAGCCCATTTAATAAAATAAACGAGCATTCTACCCTTCTTGTTTGTTTCAAAATACACTTACAATACATAAAAATACTTTCCTCGAACATTACCCTTTGTCATGGGATGAGGGAAGGAGGGAGGCGGCCAGGACCAGTGAGAATGTGGGACTTGAGCCAGATGAGTTACAGAGCAGCTTCCGCCTCCCTGGGGAGGGCAGTGAGTATGGGCAGTTGCGGTCAAGAACAAGACCTAGCTCTGGCCAGGAAAAGGAGCCTGCCTGGGTCTCAGGGTGGCGATGCCCTCCACACTGCAGACAGTGGGCCGGAAGAAGAGCCAGGGCTGTAGGGTGGGATGGAGGAGACCGGCAGCCTGTCCTCCCGTGGTCTGCTGGACACCAGGGAAGTGGAGACAGCTACCGGGTGAAGACTGGCGAGGGCCTGGCCTGGGGTGGAAGGGCCACCTGCCAGCCAGTAAGACACCGGGGCCCTGCGAGACACCGGCCCCGGGGACAGTCCAGTCCAAAGCCGTAAGCAATGGAGAAGAGCCAGAACCAACTGGCCGACACGAGCAGCGGCTTTCTGAAGACTGGCAGCCACGCCATCTGGCCTCCTGGCCCAGTTTCCACTCACACAGCCCGGCCCCTGCCCCAGGATGGAGCCAAGGGGTCACGGGTGGGCACTGAGACAGGTGGACCCTGCGGCTCGCCAGCGCCCCACCCCAGCAGGGTTTAGTTGTTCTTTAAGCGCACCCCTTTGCTGGCTGCAGGGCCGGCCCGGGCAATCCAGCACGGAGGAGCGTGTCACCCGAGGTGAGCCAGGCACAGGGAAGGAAGGCCTGCTCAAAGCCAGCGAACGCACGGGCTGGGACGCTGACGCTGACACCGCACTGTCACCGAGGAGGGCAGGCAGCCTAAGTCTACGCAGTAGCTCACGCCACCCCACGCCCAGGATCCTCGAGGGACCTCACTCCTGGAGTACGCTCAGACCAAACATTCCCAATCCTCTGAACTGAAGTCATCATCTTGGATTCTGGTTTTGCTAAAATTCACATGAAACCGAGCCGTCGATGACCATGCCATTGTCGTACCTTGGTAAGTGTTGGAGCTGGGGGTGGATCTGCTCTTGGTGTGATCTGCACGGGGGAACCACAAGGGAAAGACGCTTTCCAGGCTGGTTTCGGTCGGGATGTCCCCTGGAGTCTCGGAGTGGACAGGGTTGCTCACAGTGGCCCAGCCCAGGGTCTGAAAGCCAGCACCCGGGAACTGGGCAACAATAGCAGCAGCAGCGAGGCCTCCTCCTCCTCCTCCTCCTCCTCCTCAAGACCTGGGCTCTCCTCCGAGGGTGTGCACAATGAGTGTTTCTGTACTGTTGCTAAAGAACTCCATTTTAAAAAAAGTCCAAGTGACAAGTTGTCAGGTCCAGGCTGTGCTGCTGTATTAGGATCAAAATATTCTTTGGCATCCATTGAATGATTCGACTGATTCACTGGACTTTTGCAAGGTTCTTGTTGGAGAAGTTCTGGCTTTACCAGTGGTGGAAGTGACCCAGGAGTAATTCGTAAAAGAAAAACAAACAATGTTTTCACGGAATTCCTTTTTCGTTTGTTCCCTGAGCTATCACCCTGGGGCCACTCCACTGAAACTCTTCAAAGCAATTACCTAGGACCTAGAGGTGGGGCGGAGGGGCAGGGGGAGGACGGGGCGGGGAGAAGGGGTTAAGGCTCTAAGGGACAGAGGGACACAGGAACATCCAGCAAGACTTCAACCAGCCCCAGCAGGCCAACACCGGCCTGTCCCGGGCCCCGGGATCCCACTGCTTGTTGGAAGGAGGTGTTTCCCAAAGGAAACCAAGGAAGCTCATCTCTTAGCAGGACTAGGAACTTGAAAAGGCAAACGGTCTGGTCTGGCCAGCTTTGTGGGAGTGACCAGACTTCAGCCCTGACGGCCCCGGAGTAAGGAAGTCGGAGCCCCAGACTGATTCTCCGCAGGGTGGCTCTGGCTCCTCACGGTGGGCGGCCAGGCACTGGCCCTCCCCGAGCCCTCCACCTGCACGGTGGCTGGCTGTGTGGGAGTCCCCTGAGTAAACAGCACAGCTCAGGAAGGTTCTGGGAACCCCTTCCCAGAGCCGCTGGGCTGGGCACTGGCAGGGGCAGAGCAGCAAGGGAGAGGAGGCGACAGGGTGGCGGGCAGGCCTCAGATGGCAGGGGTTGGTCAGGAACCGGGGGGCCCCTGCCCCTCAGTACTTTCTCCTAGAAACTCGTTGTGCTTGTGACAGTGAGTAGACTCTGGCTGGGTGTCGCTTATCAGACTTTCTTGGGGATCAGTGGAGTGCAGCAGGACCCCCACCCTGCAACGGGGCCCAAGTGGGACAGGGGGCAAGGCGGGCAGGACAGGCCCCGGAATAATGCCCAAACAGTCTGTGTCACCCAGCGGCAGTGGGCAGGAGTCCTGAGCTCTTCTTCACCTTGCCTACATCTAGCCAGAAGCCCAGCAATGCCGCATAGGTCACGACAGGGGCAGCATAGAGGACCAGGCACTGTCCTTGCGGCCAGAGCTGTAGAAGGAACCCTAACATCCTAGGCCAGCACGGAGGAAAGACAACAGTGTGGAATTCGAACTCTCTCTCTATTAAAAATAAAACCACCACAGAGTGGTAGCCTTGAGGGTCTGGGACACTCGGCAGAGATCGGAAATGGCAGTTGTGACTGGGCTGAGGCCTTGTGGGGGACCAGGGCAGGCCCAGAACGGAGGCAGGGGTGAGTTAGGAGGCCAGGACCCCCATGCGGACCACCTCCTCAGCCCCCGCCTCCCGGGACCCCCGCTGCACCCCGCCGTCCTCTGCCTCTGCCTCCGAGTCGCTCAACTCCCCGTCAGAGAAGTAGCCATCAGCCTCCGCGTCAAAGTGCAGGCCGACCTGTGGCCTCTCGGCCACGGGAGCAGGCGGTCCTGTCCCTGCATCGGGCCTGGCACCCGGCGATCTCCGGGTGACCTTGCTCTCACGGGGTGGCCGGAGCCGGCCCAAGGGCTTGGGGCTCACCATAGGGCCAGGCACTTGGACATTCGAGTCAGCAGCTACTAGGGCTGCCTCGTCCAGGGTCTCGGGGGCCAGTGGCGGGGGGCTTTCTGGGGCTGCAGGAATGGGACAATCCCCAGCTGCAGGGCTGGACGGCAAGTGAGCAGACGTCCGCCGAGGTGGCTTCCTGGCAGGTGGCCCTTGCCCCGCTTTGCCGCTGCCTACATCCAGGCCCCAGGGCTTCCTGGGGGCCTTTTCTGGAGTCGTCCGAGAGCCAGGTCCATCCTGCAGGGGCGGGGGCTTCTTCTTGGCAGGCAGGCGGCTGCGGCCCCGGGCCTTCCTGGCCGGGTCGCCGGCTCGCAGCGAGGGATCCCGCATGAAGCTGAGCAGCGTCTCCTCGTCCTGCAGCAGCTCCTCCGACAGCAGGCCTGGCGCGGGGTCCTCGCGGTGTCCGTTGTTCAGCGACCACTCGCTCATGGCCATGTCCTCTGCCGTGATCTGCACCGACTGCGCCAGCCAGCTATTGAAGAAGGTGCCGTCGATGGGGAACGAGGTGCTCAGGCCTGGGCGAGGGCAGAGGAGGCGGGTGAGACGCCCTTCCAGGTGGCCTTCTGCACCCTCCTCCTGCTCTCCTGCACCCCAGACCCCCGGAAAGCGTCTTGCTTGCCCACCCTCCCATCAACACCCCCTTCTTCCCAGAAGCAGGCCCTACCCTGGCCTGGCAGGGTCAGCTGCAGAGTGAAGGACAAATGAAACAGCGAGCTCCTGGCTCAAACGTTGGTAAGAACTTCGGGGGGACCAGAGGTCAGCATTCAATCAAGCCCAGGGGAAGAAGGGAAAGGCCCTCCAGCCACCAGGGGGCACTGCATCCTCACGAGCAGCTCCTCCCTCAGCTTGAGGCAAAGCACAGGGAAAAACACGAGCTGGACGTGAATAGAGGCAGCGATGTGCATCTGGGCAGGTCTCTCTCGGTCCCCAGCCCCAGCTACGGGTTGCTCCTCCTTTTCCCAAGTCTTGGTAGAGGGTAGTTGGTGAGGGAGGGCCTTCATTTATTTATTTTACTTTTCTTGAGACAAGGTCTCACTATGCAGTTCAGGCTGGCTTGAACTCACTATGTAGCCCAGGCTGGCCTCTCACTGGAGGTGATCCTCCTGCCTCAGCCTCCAGAGTGCTGGGATTACAGGTGTGTGTCACCACACCCGGCTCAGGGCCTCTTTTTAGACATCCAGGTTGTTCCCGTCTTGACACTGAAGGACACAAAAGAAGATGACCTGGGGCTTTTGTGCTGAAGGGAGGCCTGGAAAGGGATTCCACCCTGCTCCCAAAAAAGGCTCTGGAGGAAGGGCTTGCCATTCTGGGGGTCATGAGCCCAAAGCCGGGGCTCCCTAAGGGCTGCTCTGCCTGGTGGGGCAGGAAGGAGGTCTGCGACCTGGGTGGAGGAAGAGCCCATCTCGGGGGGTGCAGCGGGGGACAGGATGAGGACTGCTGGCCTGCCCCTCCTCCCACGGGACTGGCCGAGGGGCTGGGAAAATCCAGCACCGAGGGCCCAGCCTCCGTCCGGGCTATGGCAGGGGAACTCTCAGGAAGTGAGGCGAGGTGCTGACTCTGTCTCCTCCTCCGGGGGGGGGGGGGGGAACAAGGGGCCCGGCCACCCTCTGGCCTTGGGTCCCGTCTCCAGAGCTGGGCCTCCGTGGGCGTGGGCGGGCGCAGGTGAGCAGGCGTGAGCAGAGGCCACCCCAGGGCCCTCACTCACCCAGCTGCCCCAGGACCGAGTCGGGCCCGGCCTTCACTTTCTCTTTCTTCTCCGGGCTGCTGCCCTTGGGACCCTCCCGGCCTTTCCTCTTGGAGTCGCTCTTCTTGCCCTTGGCTCTCCTCCCGGCTTGCTCTGCGGCAGGCAATGCAAGAGGAGGGAGACGGTTACCATCAGGCCAGCACGGAGTGGCAGCCAGGGCTCACCCTCCACGGCATCAAGGCCAGAGCCGGGCCTGGGCCCAGCTGGTGTGGGATGGAGGGGTCCAAGCCCATGGCTGCCCTTGGGGGTGACGGGGTGGGCACAGAGCCACGGGAAGACCCAACTCGTCTGACCTACACCACCCACAGGCCTGGGAGATGTCTGGGGAGGCCTTGAGTGTGAGGCTAAGGAGCGGTACACAAGGGCGGAGAGGAATCCCGTCGGGGGCCTGAGGCCTGGGTTCCAATCCTGACACCATGGCACGTCCCCTTGAGCAAGCCTTGTGCCTTGGTTTCCCAGCCTGCTTTTGAGGTCAGGTGGCAAATGCACACCGGGCCCTAATTCCTTCCTGTCCAGGATGATCTGCAAGTCTGGAAGCAGGGGAAGAGTGCAGGGGAAGACAGCAGCCCTGGGCACCCAAGCCTGACACTCTGGAGGCAGGCGTCCTGCCCTCGGACAGCCTGGACCCTTCCCTCAGCCACAGGACCTGTCTCACCTCGCCCTCACTCCCCAGTTCCTGAACCAGGTCGAGCTCTGGCCTCTGGGTCTATATTGCTGTTTCCTGGTCTTGCCCTTCACCTGGTTCAAATGAAGGCCCAGTGCTACTTCCATTGAGAGGCCCTCCTAGCTCCCAGGCTGGGGGTCTGGCATCACGATAGTGTGGGCACTGCTCTGGGCAGGCACAAACCAGTCTTCTGACCCAATGCCTGCTCTCAACTAAGAGCTGCTGGTTGTTGCCACTTGAGACAAGGAGCCGCAAAGACCCCCAGACTCAACGTGGGGACGCAAACCCTTACATTTCCAGGACACTATGCCCAAGGGCCCTGCTCCTTCCTTGCCACCCTCAGACTTTTTTTTTTTCTTTGCAGTACTGGGAATAAAACTCAGGACCTGGCATTTGCCAGGCAGGTAAGGTGCCACTGAGCTAGGTCCCCGGCCCGCCACCCTCAGATTTGACTGTGGGTGCCTCGTGTGGGCTGCTTCTGTAGCCAGATGTGTGGCCACAGCCAAGCGCCAGGGAGAGCAGGATGCTGCTTCACATCACCTTCTCTCTCAGCAGCCCTGAGACCGAGCTTTCCTTTCTCCAGAGTGCAAGTTCCACGAGGGCAGGAGCCCTACCTGCACTCAGCCAGCACCCACTGAATGACTGAACAGCACACAGGAGCCTCGAGAGCTCCAGAACTGGAGCCGCAACCTGCCCTGACCCCGCACCTGAACTTGGCAATGCTGCTTTCCCAAGCACAAATGGGCGGAAAGCCCAAGGAGCAATCAAGGGAGCCTGGCCACTGGCAGGAAATGGAGGGTACCAGGTCCTCAGTCACTTGCTGCGGCGATGGCCCAGCAGCTTCCTCCCCCTCTTCTGCTCTAGGCTCAAGCCCTCTCTCCGCCCGGCTACTGCCGCTGCCTGGAAACTCAACACCAGAGTACCACCTCTCGGGTTAAGCATTCTCCTTCCCGTGTCTGCATGCCATGAACGGTCCAGCCCTGTTCTCGGCTGAGCAAGATCAGCCACCAAGAGCTTCAATAGCCTCTAACTGCTAGGTCTGTTAAATGCATTGCAAATGAATGAGAAGACAACAAAGAAGAAACACCGCTGATCCAGGGCCTGAATCCTGTCACGCAGAGTCAGGAAGAACACACAGGTACTGAGCCATATCTAGAGACTTCAGGGGAGGCCAGGGCTGCAAAAGGTTCACCAGAGCCTGCCCATGCTGCCTCGGCCCCCGCACAGGGCCCCTCGCACTCTGGGTCTACACCCGCTCACTCACTTGCCCTCTGCTCATGAACCGCAGTGGCCAGTGAACCTGAAAGGCCCGAGGGCAGCCTGGCGCCCTGTTCCCAACACAACCAAGCCCTCAGCAGGCCCCCTCCGGGCCCAGGAAATGGTGGAGGGGGAAAGGGGCCAATGGGTCCCACACATCTACCCCACTGCACCTCCAGACGCACCTCCCTCGGGCCCCACCCCGCAGTGGCAGCAGGGGAGGCGCCCTACCTCGACACAGGTCCTGCTCGATAAGCTTCATCTGCAGGTGGAAGATCTGCTCCTGGAGCTTGCAGATGGCGTGCTTGGTTCGCTCACGCCTCGTCACCATGTAGCACAGATTCCTAACCTGAGGAAACACGAGAGGTTTCCCACCTTGCCCATGGGCAGCCACTGCAGTTCTCCCAGCTCAGCTCGACACGGGCTCCCTGGAGCCTTTCCTGCGGGTGCGACCCCTGCAGGTGCACCCCAACCTACACTGTGAACACCAGGCCTTGCGTCCACCTACCACTGACCTGGCCCAAGAGGCAGCCCCAGGCGGTGACCACCGGAGCCAGCCTGAGCCCTGGCTCTGGCCTCCTGCATGGCCCACCCTCCAACCCGCCTCCCCTCAAGTGCTGGCTGCAGCTCTGTGCACGCTGAGTGAGGGAGGCCCTGCGTGAGGCTCTTCGCAAGGCCATCAGGGTCCCTTTCTCCCCAGGGATTGCCATGCAGCAGGCAGAGACGCTGACCAAGGTGTCCTAGGACCAGGCTGTCCTGACACAGACCTGCGGGGAGACAGCAAGGTGTCCTGGACAAAGGGACACTAGACCAGGCAGGAGATCACACGCAGAGAGCACAGAGCAGGGACAGGCACAGGCTGGCTTGTGGCTAGCATCGGGGAGCAGTGAGAGGCAAGGCCAGGCAGGGAGAAGGCAGGAAGGAGGGCAGGCTCCGAGGCCAGGGCAGCTGGGGGCCTCTGCGAAGGTGAGACCCAGGAACTGTCCCCGAGGACCGGCTCTCCCTCCCCACCGGCCGGGACCCCAGTGCGTCCACAGTGGTTCCTGTGCCTGGCTCCTCCTCTCTAGCTGCCTGTGCGTCCCAGTCTGGCCCATCATCTCTCGCAGGGAGAGGTAAGCCAACCCAACCCACCCGCTCCCACACAGCCATCTTCTTGAAATGCCAATCAGACGACTTCCCTCCTCCCAGCACTGCCTCCTTAGGCTGAATGACATCCCTCCAAACTCTACAGGGACCCTCAGAATGGGACTGTACTCGGCAGCTGAGTCTCAGTGGCTGTACCTGGTTAAAGTGAGGTCATACTGGATTAGGGTGGAGTCCCAGGTCGGGGACATCCAACTCTCAGGGGTGGGGTTTCAAATCTACACTGCAGACGACGCTAAGGAACCTGGAAACTCCTGCCCTAAGCCAGGGGCTGCTGAAGTGAGGCACACAGGATACAGGTTAGTGCTCCTCAATATAGGAAAAAATATTACAACTGCCGCTAGCATTTTCTTTTTCTAGGCTCTATTAGCAACCCTGATTGTTTTATAATATGCAGTGGTAGTTATGAGATATTAAAAATACATTATCAGAGGTATCTGCTCCATGTTTTTTACTGATGAGGGCACACTTTGCCATCAGGAATGCCTGCAGATTCTGACTCCAAAGACCCAAGAATCTTTCTGCCTCTTTCTGTAAGAATCCCAACACTCTTTGGTTGGTACTTCAGTCACACTGTGACCCCTATATCTTTTATTTCTGCCTCAACTACTTTTTAAATTTCTCCTGAGAATCTTAGTAACATAACTACATCTTTGGGACAAGGATTTAGCTTAGTGGTTTCATTGCCTGCTTCGCAAGTGCAAGGACCAGAGTTCGATCCCCGGTACCAAAAACAAAAACAAAAACATAACTTCGGCTTTAAAAACTGAATATTATGCAATCCCTTTGTTCTGATGGCTTTTGGAGACAAGCTGTTCCCTCCCATCTATCTATCCATCATCTATCTATCTGAGACACAGTCTCACTCTGTAGTCCAGGCTGGCCTTCAATTCACAGCAATCCTCTTGCTTCAGCCTTTCGAGTGCTGGGATTACAGGCATGAGCCACTATGCTCGGTCTAGGTTTTACATTTCGATGAAGCTGTTTTGCTAGCAGTGAGTTTTAGAGAAAGCCGGGAGCTGGGTGGGGTGGAGGAGCAGGCAGGCTGGCAGGAGATGCCTGCAGGTCTTGGCGGCTGACTCAAGTCTGGAGCTCAGGACAGAGATGTGCTGTGGGTGGGTGGACAGGATGGGGAGCCTGGGGCCGGGCTACAGCTCAGTGGAAGAGCGCTGGCTGAGCCTGCGAGGCCCTGGGTTCCATTCCCAGCACCAAAGAAACAAGCAAAAAAGGTGAACACCCTGGTGCCTCTGGCCCTGAGCGTGGGCCCAGGAGCAGCTGTCAACAGAGCAAGGGAACCAGGACACCGAGGCAGACAGAAGGAGGCAGAGAATCCAGAGGAAAAGGGTTTCAAGGTCAAGGGCAAGCTCCACAGTGAGGACCCACCTCGGAGAAGGGATGGAGAAGAGGGAGGGCAAGGCTGTCGGCGCAGACGGCCAGGGAACAAGGACCCAAACACCATGAGGGATGAACAGAAAGGGGAGCTGGGGTGGTGGGGAGGGTCCCACACCAGGGGGAGAGGAGGAGGAGGATGTGCAGAAGACGGGACAGAGTTTAAACGACTCCCACGCTGGAGGCATGGCCCGAGGAGGGGAGGAAGGGCGGCAAAGGCCTGTCTGTGCGGCATGGGCGGAAGCCTGAGGATGCATCCAGGCTGGGGCTCGGCTGGCCGGAGGAGGAGGCCATATGGGAAGAGACGGCCAAGCTGTGAGGGAGGCCAGGCCAGCAGGGCCTAAAGGCCTGAAGGCCCGAAGCCAGCTGGCAGGGACTGGGGGACTAGTTACCCACCCCAGGGCCAGGGAAGGGCGGCTGCCTGGGATGTGCAAGAACCCGGGGCTGTGGTGGCAGAAGCCCGGGGCCTTCTGGGTGAGTGACCTGGGAGCAGCTGGAGGTTCGAGGTTCGGTGGGGAGGGGCTGCCCCCACAAGGCAGGCTTTGGTCGGGAATGAGGGCCGGGCCACCACCATCTAGACCAGTGACGGAGAACTTAGAGCTCTCAATGACAAGAAACACCCCGCCAGTGGCATAGGCCCGCCATCGCTGATCTAGGCACTGAGGACAGAGTAAGCAGTGACCAAGTGACAAGGAGGCAGTGTCCGAGAGGCAGGACACACTTCCGGCTAAGCAGCTACCTCTGGGAGATGCAGCAGAAGCCAGGCCTTAGGGAGCTCCCAGGCAGCCCTTCTCGGGGCAGGTGTGTGTCTAAGAGCCACCTCCACCCTCTCGGCCCTATCTGTGTCAGGTCAGGCTTCAGAACCAACTGGTATCAGGATCCACAGCTAGCGGTGACAACAGTCAAGGCCACCAAAGATGCCACTGTGCCAAACCTCTGTCCTCCGACCTCGCTGTGACCCCATGCACAGTTCGATCCTGGTTGCAGGCTGTCATTGAACTCGCTGTGCAGCCCATACTGGCCTCCAACTCACGGTGATCCTCCTGGCTCAGTCTCCCGAGTGCTGGGATTATAGGCGTGCACCACCACACCTGGCTGACAGTTTGATTCTTATTCCCATTTTTCAGACTAGGAAACTGAAACTCAAAAAAGCGGAAACAGAAACGAAGACACAGAGCTGGGCAGTGCAAAAACCCGATGCAGACGTAGGCTCCCTAAGGCGCACATCTGAGCCCGACCCTGCACCCCGATGGATCTGGGCCCAGCTGGCCTGGTGCCCAGTCCCAGGCTGGAGACAGGGCCAGGCCACCACACAGGGGCTTTCAGAAAGCCTTCCCGACAGCGGGAATCTCAGGTCACCTGCATGTGGCTGAGAGGCCCTGCGGCCGGGACACTAAGCAGGCTGAGCTGGCTTATTACTATCTCTGATGCTTTTTCTCCAAAGCCCTCAAGGCTGAACACCCCTCACCCTGCTTCCAGCTGCTGCCCACCAGCCCGCCCATGCGGCTGCCAGGGAAGCAGCATTTGGACAGAGCCCTCCTGTGCTATAAGGAGCTGTGCAGACTTCAGAGTCGGCGGAGTCCTCCTTCCTGGAGGCTCCCCAGTGCCGGCCCCACCTGAATCAGCTGACACTGGGGCTGGGAGCTTGGTGAAAGGATGGGCCTGCCTGGGAAATGTACATAACAGGAGAAGCCAGCTTTGCTCTTCTTGACCCCAACCCTTCCCCTAACGCAAGTCAAGCTCCAACCCTCGGAGACCCAGTTCCTCTGAGGCTTCCTGTCCCTTTATGTCCCAAGCCCCGGTGACTCCATGTACGCAGCTGAGCTGGGAGAGCTTCCTCACGTCACCTAGTCTGGAGTGGTGGCTTCGGAAGTGGGCCGAGGGCCAGACACGAGGGCCAGACACGAGGGCCGCCCACGGACCAGGGCCGTCGGTCTCATGGGTCACCAGGGAGACTTCAAGGGCGAAGGAGCAGATTATACAGGAGACCCTGGAGGCGGAGACTCAGGGAAACTCCGGAAGCAGCATGGCCACAGAGTGCTTGAACCCGATGCCTCTGCCACATGTGACAGGAGGCTGGGCAGCCCAGGAGGAAGCGGCTGCAATGCAGGTGGCCTTGCCCTCTGCCCTGGCTATGACCAGAGACATGTGATCCCTCACCCCACACTTCTGACCTGGTGGCAGGCTGACAGCGTCCTGAAGTAAGCTCCCTCTCAGGCCACCAGGGCCACTTCTGCCCCGCCCAGGGCCCTGGGCAGATGAGCAGGGCAAAGGGGAATGCAGAGGTGGGGCCAGGTTCCCCGGCCCTGACACCTGCCAAGACGCTCTACCCACATTACAGACTTGCTGACTGAAGGGCAGATAAGAAAAGCAGCCGCCTCAGGTCACACAAAGCTCCCGCCATGCTTCTGCCAGGGGCTGTTTCCTAACAGGGCCCAGGGAGATGGTGACCACGCTGTGGGTACCCCAGGGGGACACTGTGACATATTTCACACACTTGGGAACCCTAGAACTTCAGTGTTGGAGAGGAGAGGCCAGAACAGGCCCTAGGGTCCAGGGAACTGGATCACGGACATTCTGCTACTACTTAGGCACTAAGCCACCACCCTGGCCACGCCAGTCCACAGCCAACCTGTTCCACCAGTCCTGTGACTCCTCCTCCCCAGCAGGAGTCCCAGCTGCAGCAACAATCCCTGCTTAAAAGACTTCTGCAGCTTCCAGACACACTCTGGCCCATCATCCAGCCTCCAGGGATCTGCTGGCCTCATCCTTCCCCTTCATGCAGGCTGCCGTTGATCTTCCAGCCCACGTGTGCTTTGTGCCTCTTTCCTCCCAGTTCCGCACCCCGAGGGAGCTGGATCCACACCTGCCTGCCCAGCCCCGCCCCGCCCGGCATGGGGTTGTTCGGTGTCTTCGACAATCCTGGTTCTTAAGACACTCAGCGCACAGGAGATGGGGGTAGCATGGGTGTCCCGGTTCCTCCCCTGCCTCAGATTTCAAAAAGAAACTCAGGTACTAAGAGACCAGAGGCGGAACCCAGACACTTAGGTGTCCGAAGCCTGGGTCCGAGCCCCAGCTCTGGGACCACAGGGACTCAAACATGCAAGAGGTGGAATGTCCTCTCTCCCGCAGGCACTGTTTACCCCCATCCCGCCTGAGATGCGGAAGGCCCAGCCCCTTGGCTGCTCTCAAAGCAGGGCTGCTAGGCAGAGCTCATGGTTTGAGTCCCACTGAGCCCTCGGCAGGGAAAGGGCCCTCAGGAGGCCTGCCTAGGCCACTCACCCTCTCCAGGTCCTGCCGCAGGTGTGTGAAGAGCTTCAGGCGGCGGTAGAGGACGTCCTGCTCCTGCTGGGCAAGGTTGTCCACCTCGTCTGTCTTGGGTGTCAGCAGTGGCTGGTTGGCATTGGCCTTCCTCTTCAGCTTCCAGTACTGGTAGATGAAGTCGACCAGTGCCTCAGCCAGCTCCAGCCGCTCAGCAACCTCGGCGGGCTCCACCAGCTCGTAGAAGTCTTCTTCCAGCTGCTGCAGCCGCTGTTTGCGCAAAGTCACCTTTTCCAGGTCTTCGCCGGCCTGGCTGGACTCCACTGGCTCGGAGGGGGGCTGGCTTCTCGGGCCATCACTGTGCTCCTGGCAGAAGGACTTGAACTTGACCTCGTCGTTGTCTGCTAGTATAGTCCGCATTTCCAGGCCATGGTCAAAGGCGCATGTGACGTGGAATGCTGTGACGCAGGAAGGCATGGAACACTGGAGGGAGAAGAGGGGCAGGATCAGGTACTGAAGCAGCCCTGGTGGATGGAGAAGGGTGTGGGGCTGCCCAGGCGGAAGGCTGGGAGACTCCAGGGGAAAGGGCTGGGCCTCCACTGTCATGGACAGTACAAGGGGCCACGGCAGCTGGAGTGCGGGGCTCAGGAGCTCCTAGGAAGGTCAAGATCAGCACTGTACGCCAGGGGACTCGACCATCAGAAGCCAACTGCACTTCTCTGGGGACAAGCAGCATTTCTGCACAGGTGAATGACGTTGGAGGAGCTGCAGCTGCATCCCCAGAGCCCTTACGCTCCCTTCCAGCCCTGCGGAGGACCACGGGCACCTGACATAGTTTCAGCAATAATGCACCCAGCCACTGTGCAGGCACCAGCGATGCTGGGCTCAAAGCCCATCTGAAGATCTCATAAATAGGCGGAGCCGCTGAGTGCTTGCATCTCTGTTCCTGGAAAGACGAGTGAGACAAAGACACCTCCGGCCCCCAAACCATAGATCAGAGGCACCTGCATCACCTCCGAGTCTGTTAGAAGTGCAAATTCTCAGCTTCGCCACAGACCTGCTGAATGAGGACCTCCAGGGAACGGGCCCAGGGATGTGTGTCACCAGCTCTCTGGCTGAGTCGGACACAGACTAGAATCTGGGAACCACCGGCAGCATAGAGGGACCAGTGCAGCCCTGCTCTGTCAGGAGAGCCAACTGGCTTAGTGGAAGAGGAAGTTTGATGCTCACTCCTCCCGTGTGCCAAGTTTGCCAACAAAAGTGAGGTCAAAGCCAGGTGCGGTGGTGCACACCTACAATACTGGCCCTCTGGGAGACCGAGGCAGGAAAATTTCAAGTTTGAGTGCAGCCTGGGGAACGTGGCCAAACCTGGTCTCAATAAATAAAATAGGCTGGAGCCAGAGCTCAGTGTGAAGGCCTTGGCATCCATGCCAGTCTCCTCCCTGGAGGGCCTGAGGATAAAGGGATGCTCCCTGAAGGTGGGGTCCTAGGTCTGGCCCCAGCCCCGCCCCTCCCAAGCCTATCTGCACAGCTTGGGGGAAGATGGAGGGGGTAGTAGCCACCCATTTCCCAGGGCGCCCGGGAGCCACTCCCTGCAGAAGGCTCCTGGGTAGCAGGGGAGCGGCCACGTACCTGGATGCAGGTGCCCGTGCACTCCTTGCACAGGCTGCAGGACAGCGCCCAGCGGCTGGCTGGGATACTGGAGATCTTGGTGACGGGCTCCATCTTCTCGGGGCATCCAATGCTGACCTGGGCAGGACACACGAGTGTTCAGTCCCCGGTCTGAATCCCGAGATCCCCCAGATGGGGTGTGCTTTACATCAAACACTGGGCACATGGAGCAGGGGCAGAGCCCCTGGACCCCAGGTCCCTCCTGACTCCAAAGAGGCACAGCCCAAGTTCAAGGTCCAACTCAAGCCGAATGCTGGGTCTAAGTGACCTCATCCGTGACCAGTCCTAGATTATGGATGTGACCACATGCTGCATGTGGCTGACCACAGGCCTCAAGACAGAGGTAGGTGTGTGTGTGTGTGTGTGTGTGTGTGTGTGTGTGAGAGAGAGAGAGAGAGAGAGAGAGAGAGAGAGAGAGAGAGACATGCAGAGTCCTCTTCCTTCTGCACCTGCACCTTTCTTTTTGGGGACCAAAAATACAGGCCTCATGACAGCTTCTCTTGAGGATCTGAAATTTAGGCCTGTGCCTGGGTCTCCTCACTGGCCCTGCCTGAATATGGAGGAGGGCCCTTTTGGGCTGTATCTGCTGTGCCAGCCCAGCACAGTCTGAGCAGTAGCCCCAGCCTTCAAGATGTGGACCCGACAGTCCGAGACCACAGAGACGGTAACTACTGTCGAGGAAACCTGGACTGTGGGCCGGGGCAGGAAGGACAGGGGCCCCCATGGACAGGGCCACCTGGATTGCTTCTGGGCACAGGCAGCACTGGAGCGGGGCTTCAGTCTGCAGGGCACATGGCGAGGCTAGTGCTGAAATCCAGGCAACTTCGGCATTTCACATTATTTTTTTGCTACCAGGGATCGAACTCGAGACCTTGCACTTGCAATCCCCTCTGAAGTAGGCTTACATCCTAATTTCCTTTTTGGTCAGGTGCTCGGTGTTTTGGGGTTTTTTTGGTACCAGGGATCGGACTCGGGTCTTTGCGCTTGCGAGGCAGGAGGCAGGCGGCGGAACCACTGAGCTAAATTCCCAGCCCAAGTCCTCTGTGTTTTGAACATGCAGCCTGACTTTGGTGGGAGCCACTGCCCAGGGTCCGATGGATCCTGCAGCCTGCTTCCCCTAGAGGTGGCCTCCCAACTTCTGTCCCATCTCAAACCCATCTTCTGAAGCCTCGGGCAGTTCACCAGCCCACTGTCCCACCTGAACTGTGCCCAAGACCACAGGTAAGAGTTCCCCAGGGGCCACTGCCTTGCTTCCTCCCAGGCCCAGCTCTGGGGATCCCTAGGTGCTCACACAGCCCAGCCCTTTCTCGCCCCGTGCTGTGCACCCAAGCTCCATGCAGCCCTGCCTCCCCAAGGGCTGCTCCCTGGGCCGCCACACCCCCACGCCTACTCACCTCAGGAATCCACAGGGCGCAGCTGACATGCACCCACTTGGTCCCACTTCTGGTGGGCTTCAAGGCTCCTCCTCGCTTAGGGCAGAGCAGGCACTTTGGCTGGACTCCCAGGGCACATGTCCGGCATAGCCAGCTGCCCGTGGGCACCTTAAGGATCCCGTAGCAGGCCTGGAGACAGAGCGGACGGCCACGGCTCAGAGGCACTGGCCAATCTGGGGCTGGCGAACAGCAGGGCCCGGTACAGCCTCTAGGCTAGCAAGGAGCCCTCCAGAGGTCTACACTGATGCCGAGGGGTCCCAGGGAGCCCCTGGGTCTGCAGTGTTCCCCAAATCCCGGCATTTCAGTCCTCTGTGAAAGGGCACAAGGCCGCCCTCTGCTGGAGGAGATGCCCTTCAGCCAGATTCCTTAAGCAGTGTGGACTTGGGAGGACCCCTGAGCCGTCCCCCATCTCAAGCTGCACACAGAATGGGTCCTGTAACCCCTAGGACCAACGCCGAGGGTGCCCATCTTCTTCACACGGGCATGTTTACTCGCCATTGGTCCTAGGGACTTCTGAAAACTCAAGACCTAGAGCCTCCGGGCCCAAGGTGGAGGGAGAGACCTGGCCCGGCTCTCCCTGGCTCTAACCAGTAATGGCAGCCAGTATTTATGGTCCTCACTGTACTGCACTAAGCAAAGAACTCATCAGCAGCAGTTTAGTCCTCAAGACAACGTTGTTGTTGTTTTTAATTTTTGCAGTGCTAGGCATCCAATCCAGGGGCTCACTACACTTTCAGCCCCAACAACTCACTTTTATTCAGAGTTGAAGCGGGCCGGGGATTTAGCTCAGTGGTTCCGCCACCAGCCTCGCAAGCAGAAGGACCGGAGTTCGATCCCCGGTACCAAAAAAAAAAAAAAACCAACAACATAGTTGAAGGAACAGAGGCCCAGAGAGATTAAGAAATGGGCCCCAAGTCACACAGCTTGCGAAGGACAGAGCCAGGGTTTGAAATCAGGCAGCCTGGCTTGGGGCCGGGCTCTCGGTTCCCACCCAGGGCTGCTGCCTCTTAGCAAATTCAGGGTGTGAGGAGCCAAAGGGCACCCGACAGGTGTTTCCTGAAGCCTGGCCTGGCAGGGCTGGCCCCAGGGGATCACAGGGCACCTACGCCACTGGCCCCCCCCGCCCTTCCCCATGGTGGCAGCCCGGGCCGGGTCAGCGTGGGGGTCGGGGTGCCCACCTGGTGTACACAGACATTGCACTTGTCACAGAAAACCATCTCGTTGCCGTCCTCCCCCTCGGGGGACCGGCACACGTCACAGACAACATCCTCGTCATACTCGATGCCAAGCCCCTCCTGTGTCTCGATGGCCCGTGCCATATTCTGGTGGCACAAAGTTTCCAGTTCCTCCAGCACACGCTCTAGCGTCAGCTCGTCCAGCCCGGGCCTCTCTGGGGGGACAACAGGGGTCGGGGTTAGGACCCAGCCTCCTCGGAGCTGGGAAGAGTTCTCAGCTCCCGGAGAGCAGGAATCCACAGCAGATGCAGGGGCTGGACCATCCGGTCTCCAGGGCCCTGCCCTCTGTGGTGTCCTCGCTGTCGCCAGCACGCCATGACATGTGTGTGCAGGGACCTGCTGCTTACGCTGCGTGCAGGGGCACATTCTGAAGGGGTCAAGGGTCACGCAGCCAGGGCACCCTCACCTGCTGACTCACTCTGCGCGTGACGCTCAGGCCTTTTACAATGTTCCCAAGAACTCTGTGAATCACGTGATATTACTGTCCCCACGTGACAGCTGCAGAAACCAGGATGCAGAGACAATAACTACCCTGGCAGTGAGGCCGTAGGGACTTTCCACCCAGCCGTGGCCACTGCCTTGCTGGGGCTGAGGATGCTGGGGTTGGGAAGAAAATCCACCCTCCCAGTGCAGTCCCATCCCTGGAGCGATGGTCACCTACCCATCTCCTTGAGCTCGGAGTTGATGAGCTCTAGCCAGTAGGCGTCAATTTCGTCCAGGTCATAGCGGCTGCCCCCAGGCCACATGGGCTGGGAGGCTTCACTGAGGGCGGAGTTGTCTGGGGACACCTGCGCAGGGGGGCCTTCCAGTGGTGGGAGGATCCTGGGAAATAAAGATGGGAGGTCAGGAGGGAGGCCTCCGCCTGCACCCTTGGGGGCTCCACTGGGCCAATCAACCCCACTGAGGAACAAAGCAGGTGGCCAAGAGTGGGGTGTGCAACTCTGATGCCCAGTGGGACCTACACTTGGCTATGCTCTCCTTTCACTTCTTCCTCCACCACTTGTGGGAAAGAGGACACAAAAGGCCCAAATGGCTGGGGCCCCGTGGGGCTAACTCATGGCCCTTGCTCTCCACATGGACAGCTGGGCCTCAGCCAAAGCCCCTGCTCCCATCTGGATCTGCCCTATTGGCCTTGCAGGAGGGGTCCGAAGTGCTGCCCTGGGCAATCCCCTAGGATAGAGCCAGCTGGACCCCAGGGCCTTCGGCGTAGCCCCCAGGCTGGGCAGGGGCCAGGGACTGCCTCCATATCTCACTGCCCAGCCCCTCCTTCACCAGCAGTCTGCAGAAGGCCTCAGGCCAGCATTCCTCTGGGGTCTGAACCCTACCAGCTTCCACTACTGCAGCCCAGGGTAAAGCTTTCCAGATAAAAGGTCCACTGTCACAGGGATACAGTGCTGCCTGCCTTGTCCTTCCCAGGTGTGCTCCATGAGCGGTGAATCTCTCTGAATTCAGGGGTGCACACATCCGAGGCAAGTGCTCCACTACTGAAACCCAGCCCCAGCCCTTTAAAAATTTTTTTCTTGGTACCGGGGATTGAACTCAGGACCTTGTGCTTACGAGGCAGGCATGATGCCACTGAGCTAAATCCCTGGCCCTAAAATTTTATTTTGAGAGTCTCACTAAGTTTCCCAGGCTGGCCTTGAACCTGCAATTCTCCTGCCTCAGCCTCCTAAGAAGCTAAGATGACAGGTGTGGGCCACCGCGTTACTAGTGTGACCTGCCTCCGCCCCCAACCATGAGGGAGACCTCAGTCCTGTATACAAAGATGCACCTACTATGGTCCCAGGCTGACACCCTTCTCAGTCCCCCGAGGCCTCGGGCCCTGGTTGCAGGTGGAGACTGAAGTCCAGCATGTCCTCATCCCCCACACGGGCTAATAATCACAGCACGCACCTTACAGGGCTGGTCAGAGGATGCAAGGATTAAGGAATGCAAAGCTCTAGGTGCCTGGCACATGGTAAACACTGCGTGCGCACACATGTGTGTGCTCTGAGACCTCTGGGTAGCTCTGTGTTCCCTCTGAAATAAGATACAAGGGGGTACTTTGCCTCGGGAGGGCGGCATCCTCTTGGCACTGCTGTTTGCTGCCCCTCACATCCTGATACCAGATCAAAATGCCAGCTCTTCCCACCCCCCGCTGGTTGCCATGGTTATTACCTCAGAGGCCTGCCTCCAGCTGGCCAGCCCTGCCAGGCCCAGAGGCCCCTCACCTGCCCAGGAGGCCTCCTGGTTGGAGGCAGGGCTGCCAGGGGCTGTGACTCAATGGAGTCCGGAGGGGAGGGCAGGACCCGAAAACGGCCCAGTTATCAGCAAGAGGGGCAGGAGGACGCAGGCGACTGGGAGGGAGGCAGAGACCCAAGGACAGAGAGAAAAGCCTCCCGCCTGAAGAGAGGCCCAGAAGTCACAGGACAGGGGCTGGGCACTGCCTCTGCCCTCGCCAGAGCCCACATTCGGGAGGACATCAGGTGACGGTGATGAGGCTGTGCCCTCCCTGCACAGGTGATTCTAAAAGAAGCAACACTAATAAGCAGTCCAACAAAATGCTGTCTGTCCCCGTGCAACTGTCATTCCAATAAATGCTTTCCTTTAAAAGCACAGCCTGTCATTTTGTCACGATCTGGCTCTGTCTGTGTTCCAAGCCTCCAATGCCGCCCTAGTGCCATAACACTGCCCATACCTGCTCGCCCTGTCAGCTGCCACCTGGCTGGAGCTGTGGCACCAATATCGCCACCCTCCCTCTGGGGAGCCAGGCTGAGGAACTCACACCAGAAAAGGTGTTTTGCGAGTTCCCTGGGCTCTCGTCTTCATCGGCCTGTGGAGGAAGCTCTCCTGCCAGGTGCAGACTGACCCAAACCTAAGGCCAAGACAAGGCCAAGGCCTCACCCTAACCATCACCACAGCCACAGCCCGCAGCGCAGAGCTCAGCTGGCCGGAGGTGGACCGCCGGACCGGTGCCTGGTGCCTATCCCAGAATGGCAGACTCACACCAGAGGCCAGTTTCGCCCTGGGCCAAGTCTTCTGGCCATCTTGGGGCAGAGCTGCTCACAGGCCAGGGAAGGAAGGACGGGGGGCCGGGACACTGGGGCAGTAACCGAGAAAGGTCCTCAGAGCCAGCAGGCACAAGGCTCTCACTCTGGGCCTCACAGGGACAACCCAGGGTTTGTTCCTGTGGCCTGTGATTTCCTGGCCCAGCCCACTAGGCCCCGGCAGCCCTGCAGGAAATTCCCCAGAATTCCCCGACTTCCTCATCTGCAAAATGGGGCCAGTGTTGTATACTGTATAAAGCAAGTAAGATCATTCAGTCAGAGATTTAGCTCAGTGGTTCCACCGCCTGCCTCGAAAGTGCAAGGTCCCGAGTTAGATCCCTGGTACCAAAACAAAAAAAAAATAAAATAAAAAGTAAGACCATCTAGTGAGAAGAAGACTAACAGGCCTGTGACACCAGGTCACGGCCTCAGGGCTCCTCAGTGGCAGGGCCTTGAGAGTGCGAGAAGAAGGGGCATGGAGAGCTCCCTGAGAGCCCCTCTGCCTCCCCAAACCACACACAGCACAGGCCAGGAGCGCCAAGCTTGCTTCGGCCCAGCGCGGCCACAAGCATGCTATGCAGGGAGCGCGCCTCTCGACCAAGGGAGCCTGAACACGCTCTGCTCCAAGTGTCCACAGATAAAGCACCCACTGCCACCCACCGGAAGGCTGAGCATCTGCAGTTAACTCGCCAGCCAAGGGGCCAGACGGCTGGCCAAGGCGGATCAGGACGGGGCTCTGCGTCTAGCCAGTGGCCTGCTCTGTCATCCTGGGGCCTGGCACAGGTGCCAACAACTCGTCATGTGTATTCTCACTCAAGCTTCACCACACCCTCAGGTGGGCACTGGTATTATGTCCATTTTACAGAGGGGAGGGCTCAAAGCCGTCACAGTTTAGGTCGCAAGGTGAGGGTGTGGAGGGCAAGGAGCCGACCCACACCACCAGCCCTGGAAGAGGAGGTGCACAGCCATGAATCCCGTCTCCTGTTCACTCATCCTGGGCAGGAGGAGGGGCGACCCCAGGACCCCACAGGGCACCCGGCAGCCTTCACTGGCTTCGCCTGTGACCCATCCCCAGCACAGGGCTGGCACTAGGCAGACTCTCGTCTGAGAGCCGGTCACAAGTGTAGCTGCCATGCAACAACAGTGCCAACATTGAGGGAGGGGACAGCCGTGATCTGCCCCAAGCCGGGCTCAAGCAAAAGCCACAGGTGGCAAAGGCAGGGAAGCGGCAGCCAGGGACCCCAGGGGCTCAGTCCAGAGGCAATCAGCTGGGGAGACCAGGACAGCAGGCCCCTCCGTGCTGACGGCCGCCAGGGTGTCCTCCACACGGGAGCACTTGGCAGAACTCTGAGGCTGGAGCTAAGGCCACTGCCATGTGGCTCACCCTGACCAGAGCGTTTAGGGATCTCCGCCCGGCCCCAAAGACCTTCGGGATATGAAGGTAGGAGAGGAATCCTCAGGGGTGCTGCACCTGGCTTGAAAGCACAAGGTCCTGAGTTCAAGCCCCAGTACCAAAGGGAAGGAAAAAAAGCCTGGTGATTCAGACTAGGGATACAGCTCAATGGTAGAGTGCCTGCCAAGCATGCACAAGGCCCTGGGTTCAATTCCCAGTCCTGGAAAAAAAGTGTGACGATTTTTCTAACTCGCGGTTTAGGGACCCAGCCTGGAGTGACAGCGCCCTAACACACAGCCCATTTTTACAGAATGTTGACTGTGTGCCAGGTCCTGCACCAAAGGTTTTGCCTACATCATTTTACTACACCATGTCCACAACCACAAGAGAAAGACAGCACTGTAATTCCCATCTCACAGACAAGGAAACTGGGGTCCAGAGAGTCTGTCTCTGTCACAGAGTCACACTGAATGTGAGGGCAATCTGGACCCCTCCAGTCTGGTTCTAACACTGAGCCCAAACCCAACACCTCAAAGGGAAACCACTGGTACTTCTGGAACGTCAGGGACTTATCAGAGGAGAACAGGGAACAGGGAATAGAGACAGGCCAGGCAAGAATCCCAGGGCTGCGGATCCCCTCCGGGGAACTGGCTCACCTCACCACAGGCTCCGGGATGGCCTCTGCTCCTGCGGGCACCTGCACACCTTTCTCCCATTCCTGCCGCCACGGGTCTGCCAGGACGTAGTAGTCATCTGGGCTGAGCTGGTAGGAATCCGGGATCTTCATGGCTGTGATCAAGTCTGTTCGGAAAACCTGCCGGGCGAGAGGGGAGGACCGGGTTTACACTGCCTCAGGGGGGCTGCCGCACAGCCAGAGCAAAAAGTGAATGTGTTCAACTGAAGTGGGCCTCCCGCCTGCTCGCCGACACATGAGACCAAAAGGGAGCCGGAAGAACACACATGCCCCGCGTGCGGTATATCTCCCAGGAGAACTCACATTCTTCTGGCCTACGAAAACACAGCTTGAGGGACAGATGGGAGTGGACCTAAAAGACAGGGGAGAGACGGTAGAGAAATGCAAAAATAAAACAAGCAAAAAAACAAAAGCAAAAATAAAAAAGGAAAAAAAAATTCAGAGGGCAGAAAGGCATCTGTGAATGCAATGCACTGTTCTGTGACCGTTCAGGCAATTGCCACTGGATGTTTAAAACTGTGAGACAGATTGGTATCCACAGGCACAGGTGGTGGTATAAAATAGCAGAAGGTGAGCGTTCCCCACAAATAGCAAGGGAAAAGGATGGGGCTTAAGGGAGCTTAGAGTGGCTTCACACGAGCAGGGACCTCCAAGGTCCCTCAAGGGCAAGGACAGCACGGCCCCCATCTCTGCAGGGCTGTACGTTACAGCACCTATAGCTGTTAGGGGCAGAAGAAGCGAGCTGTCTTCCTTCTCCATCAAGCCCACCCCAACTCCCTCAGGCCAGCGGGCTGCCCCATGAGGCCGAACCTGCACCTACCTGCTCACTCAGAGAAACTGCTCTTCCAGTGTTCCGTTGTCCCCCACCTCCACCCAGAATAAGTTCCAAATCCACATCCTGTGGGCACTGGGAATCCTCCTGCCTCTGTTGTGGAATATGACTTTGGCACCCCCAAAGTGCCGATGTGAAATATGGTGGCAATCCAAATACCGCGTCACCTGCTCAGAAACCAGGGCCGGGGATTTAGCTCAGTCGTTCCGCCACCTGCCTCGAAAGCGCAAGGGCCCCGAGTTCAATCCCCAGTACCAAAAAAAAAAAAGACACCACCTCAAGGAACTCCGTGCCTACCCCTCCCGGAAAGGGGGCGCCACTGCTGTGTCAAGGTGAGTCGGCCCACTCATCCCTCCCAAGGCTCCTGGCCGAGTGAGCAGTGGTAACCTCGGCCTGCCAGGGCCCACTCACTGGCTGTGTGCGCCCGACTAGAATCCAGAACCTGAGCTAGGAGAAGCGTGCACCAAGGGGCCTGGAAAGCACATCTGACAGAACCTTATCAGCATCGAGCTAGAGAGGGCCCTGGCTTGAAAAAGGTCAAGTTTCTTGAAGACTCTATTTGCCAATATAATTTAATTGTTAAGACTAACACCCTAACATTTAATTAGGGTGCCAGTGTGAGAAAATTAAAATCAGATTATGATTAAATGCTAATTAAACAGAAGATGGAATGTGGCTACAATTTCACAGCCCTGATAATTTGCATATCTTATTAGCAAGCAGTAAGAAAACTAATACAAGAGTGCAAACTCAGTATTTTCGAGGTGCCCTTCAGCAGCCTCCCCTTTACTGGAGGGAGACGTTCGACGTTCTCCCTGCTGCCCTTGGAGACTGTTAAGTCCAATAGGGCTGCATCTGGGTCACTGCCCAGGGGCACCGCACAGGACGTGCCAAGGGTGAGTGGACCCCAAAGTGACCGAGGACTGCTTCACACTGCTCGGTAATGTGGCACCCCGGACCGTGTTGCTCACGCGGGACACCCATCACCTCGCTGCAGCACTGCCCAGCTGCCTCTGCCGAGGGCTGCAGCAGAGGCCCTAGGAAAAAGGCCCTAGAGTTTTCGGGAAGCCAAACCAGGTGGATTCCCCAAGGGGAACATGCAAATCTGAGGGCAAGTCCTCCAGCGGCTCCTCCCCTGGGAAGAACTGGAGGGCACACCAGGCCTGGGGCCACAGGGATGTGCTTGCTAGCTATCGATCTCCCAAGCAGTTGTTACCCTTTGCATTCAGGAGGTGCTGTCTGGGACCGTCTTCCTGTTTGCCAGAGGGCTGGTTCTGTGTGCCCTATTTAGGGTTTCTAGCTTCACCCTGAAGTGTCAGTGTAGCTCCTATCTGCCCGGAAGCCTCATCCATCCTCAGCTGGGCTCTGCTTTGTCTGAACACCCACAGCACCTGTGCTGGCATCGCCTGGTTTATTGACCCATCTTTCCCACCAAAGGGGAGTTCGCTGAGGTCTGGCAGGGCCACAGGGGTGAGGTCTAGCGGTGTATGTAGGGCCACTCACCAGGAAAAAAAAAGCATCAAGATCCTTCCATGGATCAGCCACCTCCTCCCTGGCCGCTGCCCAAGGCACAGCTGGGCAGCTGGGGTCTCCCTGATCTTCCAAAGTAGCCTCTGTACACCTGTGTAAAACCTTACCATGAATCTAGCAGCCCATTTCTAACCTGAACACTTTTTGTTTTGAATTGCCAGGGATTCGCTTGGAAAAGACTTCATTACTCTAAAATTCCTTTGAATGATTTATGAAAACTAAATAAAGAATCAAATGGACACTGATGACCAGAACTCTTGCCATGGCAGGAAAGTTGGAAGGCGGAAAACAAGTAATTTTCTTAAGCACATGAATCTTTATTACTTTTCTCTCTTTTGGCAGAAATTGACAAACTGTCTTTAAAGGTCTGCTGCCTAGCAACCAAGTTCTGCTGAGCTACTCGGGAGACATTCACTGTAGCTTCTCCAAACAGTATGGAGGACGTTTACAGACCTCAAACTCCAATTTAATAACCAACCTGAGTGCCAAGGGTGTCACTGTGGCCTGGGACGGGGCTGAAGACCCTGGTCTGCCCAGATGTAGGGACATCACCTCAGAACACGTCAGACGCCCCTGCCCTGGGTTCCCTTACCTGAAACCTAAGATCATACTATACCATCTACAAGTCTACTTTTCTACCTGTCTCCCCAGAACTGAAAACAGGCTCTGGAAGGGATATCACTGGCATTTGTGAGCTCCAAAAACAAATAATGACAACAGGGAGCTCCCCGAGTGTGCTGACACACAGCTGGCAGCCATCACGCAGAGTTTTAATACACGCTGGTGTGATTTGTGGCTGCTATTCGAACATCTTATCTGGAGCCTTGGTTCTTCCTTTTCTCCAGGGCTCAATTACTATGTCAGAGTCCTTTAGACTGAGAGGCACCAGGAGGAAGTTCGGTTACTTAAGGCTTGAGCACTTCTCACAATTACAAAATGTAATTATTTGTGTAATTTTTTGTTTAATGTCCAACTCCTCTAATAATCAACCGGAGAAAAACAGACACTGCACATGTTCTATGTTATCTCTGTCTTTATTGTGCCTGTGCACAACCCTGCATTTGGAATACAGCAGGTGCTTGAGAAACGCTTGAGAAATGAGTGAACAAATGAACCCCAGGATCTGCCTGGAGTATGGCCACACCCTGAAACTTCCTGTCAGGCAGACGGGCAGAGAGCATGGAGGCAGGAGACTGACCCAAAGGACCCCAGTGGAATTAGAAACTGGCCCTGGTCACTGTCCCACAGCTAAGAGAAATGGCTTTGCCCAGGACAGCTTTTTCTTGACCTGTGTCCATACCAGGAGGGGTAGACCTGTAGCTCCAAGGCACATTTGAGGGTCCATCCTGAAAAAGTCAACCTCATTTTAAATCAGTTTTTCCTGAGGATTCTCGTCATCAGAAATAATAGCTCAGAATGGAGTTAAGTCTCGTGTGCTATTGGGCTAACCCTTTTCCTGCATGGTCCAATCGAATTCCCATTGCCCCCACTCTACATTGTGGAGACTACGGCTCAGAAAGGTTAGACCACTGGTTTAGGTCTCTGCTGCTCTCTGACCATAACACCACGCCAGCAGGTATTTCAGCCTCTAAATAACCTTTCTGGGACAGACCCTGCTGAGCACCTTCAGCTAGGAGCGAACTTGATAGTTAAAATTAGGTATAGAACACCAGAGAAGGGCTCTGGCTGGGAGCAGACACCTCTACTCAGGCATGTTTCCAGGGACCACTAGGCTGAGTTGCTCAAATGCTTTAAACACAAAAAAATAGCCAACATCCCTTTCTCTTATTTCCATGAGGATAACAGCACTTCCTGCTCTTAAAGGGAATTTATTGCACACATTTCTTTTGCAAGACAAGTCCCAGAGGCCAGGACTCTTTCCAGCTGGCGAGAGCGGCAGTGTTTCCAGCTATATTAGAAGTGGATCCCACTCTCCCACCCCAGAGTTGAGTCTCAGAGACGGGCACTTGGCCCACCCGAAAGGTGCCCCCTACCCCTACCAGCCCAGCTCCCAGCTTGGAGAGGAGCTGCTATGGGCTACAAATGTGGCTCAAAGCCATAAAGGTAAGCACAAAGCCTGCTTTGGGATTCTCCCATTTTATCTCAAGTTAGTAGGTGTTTTGCATGTTACTACAACACATGCCATGTAGAAGATGTTATCGTAAACATCTGGATAATACCCCTGCTCCTTCAGGAACACTTTTTTTTTTTTGGTACCGGGGATAGAACCCCAGACCTTGCACTTGAGAGGCAGGTGCCGGAACCACTGGGCTAAATCCCCGGCCCAGGAACACTTTTTATTTCCTATGTTTTCCAGCCCCAACATAACCTGGCCATTGCCCCCACTTCACCCGTCTCCCAGGGTAGAAGGATGCCACTCAAAAGCAAAGGTCAAACTGCAAAGCTTCCTCTTCACTCACTGCTCTTTGCCGGGCGAGCGGAAATCCTTCTGTGGGAGTTTCATTGGACACTGGTTCTGGGGAACCCCCCCTTGCTGGCAGCAGAGGTTATTTTCACCTTTCTCCCCCAGTTCCTGTCCCTGAAAACAAGAAGTTGGGGTATCCATGAAGGGTCCCTGTGGAAACTGCAAAAGCCACACTCTCTCCTCTAAGGACATCCTCCTCTGTCACCAGGGCCTATAAAGGAGCTGGCACTTGGATCCCAGCTCCCATCCTCCGTGTTCTGGGACCATCCAGGCTTCTATTTCAGGGTGGCCAATTTCACCTGACACCCTGACCTCCTACCCCACGCATCTCTGGGGCCTCCCCGACCCACTGGCCCCATGGGTATTAGGAAAGGACAATCATCTCTACAGAGCCGTAAACTCCAAGGCAGGTGTGAACAGGTGACATCCCCAGGCTAGGAGAGAAACAAATCACAAATCACCATCGATTGCAAAGCCACTGTGAACCTCTTGGCAAAACCGCTGTGCCTCCAGTAACGGACACTTTCCTGTGTAGCCACCTGCATCCTGCTGACACTCAAAGGGATGAGCTTCCTGGGGATGCAGTGTCCCCTGGCACTGTCCTGGGCACTGAGCTAGGCCTCCTAGGTGCTCCTGAGTGCTGGCAGATGTTACTCAGCAGCAGCAGGTCTGGGTCCCATGTCTCTGCCCACTGGCTGACGTCTGGGGAAACCCCCACGGCCTGGCGTGCTCTTCCTGTTTCTACCCCACCCCAGGCTGGAGGAAGATGCAGTCTCCAACACAAACCACCGGGCCGCCCCCTAGTCCTCTTCTAGAAGCGTCCCTCACGCCCCTGGCAGGCCGTGTCACTTTCTCCTTGTCAGTCCCCTAGCAGCTAGAGAAGTGCTGGGGGCTGCCCACCCCCACTCCCGCCTTTGCAGAGGTCCCTGAACCCAGGCGGAGAGCCCTGAGGCCCCTTCTACCCAAGAAGTTTCCGGTAACAACAAACCAGAACCCCTTTTCTTTGGGGAATACAAGGAAAAGTCTAAGGTGACCCCCAGGAGGACGGTTTTTTACAACAGCATGGTGGGGGGGGCTCTTTCAGGCCACTGAAATTGGGTGGAGTTAAACAGAGGTCTGGGGCTCGTCTCTAAAAGAACAATCTCCAGCTGGGTTCTTAGAGGCATCCCACAAAGGGTTAAGGACTAAGGAAGGCTACCTTATTTGGAGACAGGCCTGGCCAGAAACCCAAGGCTCCAGAAGAATTTCCACAATAAAAGCAGCTCCCCAGGCCAGGACAATCCTTTTCCCTTCCTCAGAATTCAAGGGCCAAGGGATGGGGCTCAGCTTCCTGGGGCTCCACAGGCAGGCAAAACAGGGCAGCTGCAGGCTGGGAGCTGGGCCCCATCCCCTTTATGCTTTTACTGCTAAGGGGGTTCTGGTGCAAACTTCAGACTTTCAGTGCTTCCACCAAAAATCCTGACAGCCTCCCAGGCTTTCCCGGCCTGATTCCGCAGCCCTGGGTGGGCTTGAGGGCCTGCACTGCCCCTTCCCTCAGGGTGAGGCGGGGGCTGCCCACTGGGTAAGGCCTCAGCCCTGTCCAGGGTCCTGACTCCTGGTCAGCGCTCTCTGCAGTCCGAGGGCACTCTCCTTTGGTGTTAAGGGCACCCCCGATTTGTACCCTTCAGGGTAGTGGGGACGGCAGCCCATGACACAGCATCACAGGGCAGCCCGATGTGTCTCCTAAACCCAATCCCAGCCGTGGCACAGCCGTTGGGTTCACTAGACACCCACAGCTCCTGCAAATGCTAAGCCCTCCGTCCTCAAACCCTCACCCCATAACTGTCCCCATTCAGAGATGAAAAGACCAAGTGAACCATGCTTTCCACGGTACTGCAGGCACCAGAGGGGTTTTTCTGCACCACACCAATGGCTCTGCAAGTGTGCCGGACAGAGAACACAGGTGAGACCTGCCTGACAGCTACCCCATAAGACACCAGACACACAGGGCTCCCAGAACCCCTTTCGCCAGGGTGTCCAAAGCCCCAGTCCCTCAGGTCCAGCAAACATATAGGCTCTCCCCTTCCAGCTCATTCACAGAAAGAGAAGGGAGTAGCCCAGCGAGCAGATTTAGTGCAAACATTCTCTGCAGCCAAGTCCTCGCTTTCCTCTCCGCCCTCACAGGAGCCAAATAATTTGGAAGCTTTCATTGACGGCTTCTTCGCTGTCCCATGATAACTCAGAATTTATGCCGGCCACAGCTCAACCTTCTCACTTAGGGGATGAGGGAAACCTCACAGGCTGCTCTCCAGCCTGCTGTGGGAGGAAAAGCTTGTCCTTGGCCAACATTCAAGGCTAGGAGGACTCAGCTCTCCTGGAGCTCAGAGGGGAGGGTGCCTCCTACTCAGAGCCCACAGCCACCTGCAAGAGGCTCCTGGTCTGGGACCTGGGGCCGTGCGTAGCTGCTCCCTGGCAGGGCCCTTACCAGGGTTTGGCTCTATTTTTAGGTACAAAGGCTCTGGGCTGGAAAACCCAAGAGACAGGGGAATTTTCTCCCTCATGCAAATTGCTCTTGCCTCTCTGCCTCTGCTGACACCTGTTTCCTCCCAGCCAAGCCAGATCCTGGTGTAGATGGCAGCTGGCCCCCACCCCCAGGCAGCCCCTCCTCCCACCTGAGCTTGGAGAAGGCGTCGGGGAGACAAGCTTGAGAACTGCCTGGAGTCCAGGGAATGTGGGCCAACCCTAGGAGCTCCCCACTTCCCCAACCCACGCCAACCCGACCTGCCAGGGAGCAGGGGATTCTGAGAGGCAGGGCCTTCCTATCCCAAATGGGCGTGACGCTTCCCTCTCAGGGCTAGGAAGGCACAGATAGGTGGCCACTGTTTTACTGCTAAAACCATGGGAAAAATAAAGCCATAGCAACTGGGGAGCCCCTGTGCATCTCCAGGCCGGGAGACCTCATCTGCCTTTGGCTTCCCACGCTGCGCGAGAGCACAATCCATCCTTCTTTCACGTAGGGGTACAGGGGGCCCCAGGGCCCAAGCATCGCATTCCTCTCCCTAACGGTGGTCCCAGAGAGCACGTCATTCATTTCCACCCCTCCCCCAGGCTGGGGGATGGGATCTCAGAGGGCCGGCCTCCCCCTCCCCCTCCCAAAAAGTCCTAGGGTTAGGCAGCTCCTGGGGGCGGAGTCCTTTTTCAAATGCAAAGCTCTCCGGAAGACCTCCCAGGGGCTAGCTGAAGACTGGTCCCACGATTGGCCCCACCGTACCGTGGGGGACAGGAAGGGGCGGCTTGGAAAAAGTCTCCCCCAACCCAAACCGAGAGCTCTGCAGCAGCCCCCTGGGCGCCCCCCCCCCCCCCAGGGTTTTCAAGGTCTTGGAGACAGGACCTTGAGACCCTAATCTTCCTTTATCTACAAGAGAATTCTCAGGAGGCCTGAGAATTCAGGGCTAGTTTTAATGATAAAAAGTGCTTTTTAATGATTAAAAAGCCATGAAGAGTTTGTTAACTTTCCAGGATAGCCCACACTGCAGTGTGACCTTTTATTTTTGCTTTTACCCTCTTTTTCTCTTAGTCCGAACTCGGCAGAGCCAGTTCCTCCCCGACTCTTCAGTTTTACTTTCTTCAATAAACTCTCCCAATGCTTAAAAAAACTTTAAATTTAAAAATAATAAAAAGCAAACTGGGCGTGGTTGCCTGTAATCCCAGCACCTGGGAGGCTGAGGCAGGAGGATCGCCATGAGTTCAAGGCCTGCCTGGGCTCCATCGTGAGTTCAGTGACCGGCCTGAACTACATAGGGAGACCTTGCCTCAAAAACCCAAATAAATTAATAAATAAGAGTAACAATAATAAAAGCAATGTCCAGCCCCAACTCCTGGATTCTCACAAACTGCAGAACAGTGTGAAACCCCCACCTCAATACCACTTGCAGCCCAACCTGTGCCAAAGGCCTCTTCTACGCCAGGGGCCCTGGCAGTGAAGGTCTAAGGAGCAAAAGGACTCCAGGATGCGGCTTTTTCGGGGCCGCAGGAAGCAGGGTCCTGATGTAGAACTGTCTACCCTACTACTCTTCTCCACAGTTCCAAAAGCCAATCAACACTTCCCTGCTCACTGTGGGAAACATCTCAGATCAAACGAAGGCAGGCTGAACATGCACCTGTACACAAAATGACCGGAAGTAGCTCTGAGGAGCCATCTTCAGCCTAACACCAGCTCTAAACCAGTGTTTCTCCCCTCTCAGGTGGTGAGGAGCAGCTTTATGATGACCTAAGAGGAAGCCTAGGTGAACCGGCTTCATTCACTGCACGAAGCCACGCCGGCCTCGCTGTTCACCCTGAGCCATGCACCTGTGCTCGGGCCCTGTGCCAGGATCCCGCGGCCCCCAGTGAGTGCCTGGCTCACTGTCTGTTGGCCCCAGTGAAGCAGGCCCGGGCTTCTAAGGAGCTTGTTGCTTGCCACAACCCACCTCTGACGGCTTCTTTTCGTTCTGCCGGGGCCAGCCCGACTTGGTGCTGCTGGGCAGTTTGGAACATCTTGAAGCGGAAGTGGATGTGGCGTGACCTGCAGAGAGAGAGGGGCCCATGAGGGGGGCCAGTGACACCCACGCAGGCCAAGGTCGGGGGGCTGTACAGAAAGCTATGGCCTGACTGATCAGGAGAGAGACTTCCGACCCTGCCCAGGGCTCTGGGCGCCTGGAGCCTCCTCCACTCTCCCCCCAGAAAGGGCCCTGGAAATCAATGGCAGGCACCTCAGTGTGACCCCAGACAAGCCCTGGTCCTCTCTGAGACTCTGCCGAATAAGCACTGTGTGGCCTCTCTCCAGGCCCAAGTTAGGTAGAGCACATCCTCCAGACAAAGCAGGACAGTGGGAAGTGGCTTTGAAGCCAACAGGGACCAGCAGGCTTAAGACCTGACCCACCTCTCACTAGCTGGCCAACACTGTAAGCCTATGACTTCACCTCTTAGCCTCAGGTTGCTCTCCTGTAAACTGGGGCTGTGATGGGGAGATTTGGTCCCCAGGGCCGTGTTCTTGGGAGGCGATGTACACCTTTAGGAGGCTGGGCCTTAGGAGACTGACTTATGCCACTGCGAAAAATTGATCATGGGCTGAAATTTCCAAGACTGTGAGCTAAACAGACCTCCCTTTTGTAAGGTAGTTGTCTCATGTGTTTTGTTACAGTGATGTGAAGCCAACTCGGAGGCCCAGGGGTGAACTGTCTTCAATGGGCTGCCTGAGTGACATCAAGCCCCTGAGGCCTTAGCACTGCCTCTGGCACAAAGTGATTCCTCAATAAGCATCAGGTGTCTCTACCAGGGCCCAAGGCCCTTGGCTAGACTACAGGGCCTCCGGTCCTATAGAGAACAGAAGAGGGGCCACAGGCAGACCCAACGCTTTGGGTAGACAGGAGGAGCAGCCACGCAGGGTATAGTGGTGGGGACTTGGCCCCTGCCTGGCCCAATCCCGATGAAGCTACAGGGCTCAGCTACCCGGATGCCCATTCTCCAATGTGCTGGGCCCTCTTGAAGCTTCCTTTGCCAGCACTGAAGTTAGAAAGGAGCCTATGGTCCTTGGTTCTGAGCCAGGCCGAAAGCAGCTATAGTAGCCCCAGAAGCTAGATGCTGTGATCTGCTACAGGGAGGACAGGCTGGCCAGACTGGCCGCCAGAGCCAGGCACAAAGGACGGCGAATGAAACCTGGATGACAGGGAGGGGCTGGAACCCCACTGGCCATCCCAGCACAACCAGGCTTTTGGGAGGCTGTGGAACTCTGGGAAGCAGGAGGCGCTTCGAAGATCCCACCTGTTCACCATGTGTGAACAAACGGGTCAAGAAGCACAGGGCTCCAGGCCCAGCCGCAGCAGGAAGGCCAGAGAGGGACCTTTTTCTTCTGGCAGCCAGAAGTACTACATGCAAAGGCCCTAAGGGTGGCTGAGCTATTCCAGGCAGAGCAAAACGAGTGCAGTGGAGACCTAAAGGGGAGGAGGAGTAAAATGAAGGGGATAGAAAGGCCCTGCAGGCCTCGGCAGGGTGCAGAACTAGCTCAGGAACAGAGGGCTCTAATCATCCCCATACCCCTGGGTTGAGCTGGGACCATAGGGCAGCCTCTTCCTGAGCCTAATAATTACTCAAATGCTTTCCCTCTAGGAGCCCTGAACGAGAAGGCCTTACTGTCACTGGTGTCCGAGTTGTCGCTGCTGATAGAGTATTTTCGCCTCTTCTCTTCCATCTGCAACAAAAGGCAGGCAGGTCTGTTAGACTCATGGACAGCTTGGGCAGTCCTCAGCCTCTCCGAAAATCAGCCCTCATCCCTCTCCCACACCCAGGGCCCCACCGACGAAGGGGAATAAGGTAGCGGACCTCGCCTTCTCCCCACGCCTCCATCCCCAGAGCTCCATCTCTGTGCTCAGATGAGTAGAGGTCGGGCCAAAGATGCCATGCAAGGAAACCTGGGCCCGCCAGAAAAACCCTCCCCTGTTCAGGTACCTCCTGGGCACCCCTGACACACAACAGGTGAAGGAGGAACAGGCTGATTTTCAGGAGGACCACGCCATCTGATATAAGGGACAAGCCAGCGCTGAGAGCACGACCCATGGCGGTGGCCAGCAGAGTGTGGAGGTGGGGCCTGAGGGTTTCAGACCCAGGATGACCTGCCCTGGCCTGGGCCACAGCCCCCCCGCCCTTCACTGTCCTTCCCCAGATCAAAGTGCAAGCCAACTTTTTTTTTTTTGGTATCGGGGATCGACCTCCGGTCCTTGAGCTTGCACAGCAGGCGGCAAAACCACTGAGCTAAATCCCCGGCCCTCCAACCAACTTTATCTCTCCTGGAAAATCTCTCGCACCAGGACCTCACACAGAATCCACCCTTTACCCCCACTATTCTGCGCCCCGAACAACCCAGTGAATTGTGAGCTACTCGCTGCATTCCCCAAGCAGGCTCAGTGCCTTGTCTTGCTCCTAACTGGCTGAAATGAGATTTGAACTTTGAGGCTGAAGCCTAATCCCTGAGCCCAAGCTGAGCCACCTTGGTACAGTGCATTAGCTCCAGCCTGTTGGACACCTTTTTGTAGTGTACAGAGCTAGGGAAGGAACCCAGAGGCTTACACAAGCTGGGTGAGTGCTCTACTACTGAGCTACACCCCAGCCCCTTTTATTTTTTATTCTGAGACAGGGTCTCCTGAAGTCACTAAGTTGCCCAGGCTGGCATCATACCTGTGACCCTCTTGGCCTCAGTCTAGCCTGCACCACCACACCCAGCTCTGCTAGAACCCTTTTCCCACCCACTGCTGCTTCTAGTCCTGTGCAGTTCGGGTGGCAGGGCCTGTTCTCATCCCCTGGGATGCGGCTTGGTAAGCTGCTCGGGTCTCACGGCTCCTGAGGCCCATTTCCAACGTGCTTTCTACCTCGTTCTTAGCAGTTGTGGAATGGCCTCACTGCCCGCAGCCAAGGACAGGGAGGGAGCTCCCGTCTCCAGGAAGAAAACCTCGAAGCCCAGTCATTTGTCGGCCAACCAGGCTCCCTACCCTTGAGTGGGTCCCATCTGCTACCTAACACCCACAGCTGCCGCCCTTACCCTTAAGTCTGTTTCTGCTGAGCCTTGGGGTGTCCCTAACTTACTGCAGCCCTGCAGAGACCAGGGGACCTTTGCTTAGTAAGGCAGGGACCAGGAAGACCCTCAGGCCTCGAACCTCAGCTCAGCTAGGAGCATCTCCCCACCCCAGTGGCCTCCAACAGAATAGCCCGAGAGGTTCACTGCACTGCTTGCTGCCCAGCTCCAAAGGTCAAAGTGTTCTCCAGAGGGCGAGGGGCTGAGGGACACCTGGTGGTACCAGCAGCATGATGCCCAAGACAAGGAGCAACAGCAGCTGCGACTGCTGAGCATTCCTGCCGCAGGAGGTGGGTGCTCTGCCACACTGGGACCTTGCTGAACCCACAGAACACCCCTTGGTGCAGGTGCATGTGAAGGCTGCTTCCCACTTACAGATGAGGAAACTGAAGCTCGGAAGTTAAACAGCTCACCCGATGGCACTGCTTGTATTTAGCTCAGGAGACCTCGCTCCTGACCTCCTGTGCAGCAGAGAGCAAGCAGCCCAGCAAGCACAGCTATCCTCGCTGGCCTCCCAGCTCTGAGTCAAGTGCACAGGCTGGAAAGGCTGACTTTGACAGAGCCCCACCCAGGGCCACCAGCCCAGCCCTGTCACCCATGGAGCCGGAGGGGAGGGGTGCTATCTTCCCACCCACCCATCCTCACCTGTGATCCTGCACGGGAATTGCATTCTCTTTCCAAAAAGCTCACATGTCCAAGCCAGGGTGTCCCCCGATCCCCCACGCTCAGCATGCAGAAAGCCCTGGGTTCAGGGGAGGGAGGAGGAGCTGTGCCACCAGGGGGCTGGGTTCAAATCCCAGCCTTGTTACTCACTAGGCCAAGGTCTTTGGCTAAGACATACCTCCTGGGAGGTAAGCTGGATCTGGATTTTTATATCAATCTCCTGAATTTAAAAATGCTGGCAACTGAGTCAGAGTTTTTCAAACACTTTGAGAGGGCCAAACTAAACACATTCATGGGCCAGAATCAGCTCGTGAGTCTAAATGAGAGCAGCGCAGAGACCTGAGCACGGGCCAGCGCTCCGTACAGGTGCTGGCCTTGCATACCACGGCAGCCTTGGGCCACAGGGGACAGTCCTGCCAGTGCACAGCCAGGAGCACTGGGTCAGAAAGGGCAGTGACACTGTATGGTAAGGGAGGGCCCCAGAATGGACTCATTCACTACACAACCTTCTCCCAATGTCCCACGACTCAGGGACCAACAGGTGACCCTGTCAACACACAGACCTACTCCCTGCCCCAGCTGGCTCACTGTCCAGTCTGTCTCCCAGAGTGCCCCGGGATCACTCCCCTGGGTCAGGACTGCCCCATAGGAGGCTGTTATTAAGGGAGCAGATTTGGCAGTGGCTTAATTAGAATAATAACCAGGCTTCAGAGGGAAGCTACTATTCTGTGAGTGAAGTTTCTTTCCTTTGAACCACATCCATTCCAAAGGCCTCCCCGCCCCCAAGTCTCGCTGGCACCCCAACCCAACCCATCAAAGGAGACTCCTTCACCAAAAGAAGGCCACGGCTGCAAAGGCAGAGGGGCAAGGAGATGCGACACTTCACCTTGTCCTCTCCAATCCCTCCGAGGCCAGATCTGCTCTGAAGACAACGGTGCCAGTGTCCCAAGGCACTGGCTGTTTGGGAACAGAAAGTAGTCCTGAACTCCCGCCTATCAAGGAGACTCCAGGGAAGGAAGAGACTCCTTGTCCTGCCATCGGTACCTCTCCAGCCTAAAGACACAGGGAGAAGCCCTCCTCCAGACTGTGGGAGTCCCGGAGGGCTCCCCTGGGGCAGCGACGCCTCGCACCCTCTTGCCACAGCCAACCCCTGGCAGGCGCGTCGGTCCCTCCCTGCAAAACTCATGCACTTTTCTCCTCCCCTCTGACCACACCCGAGTAGGCCCATCTCATCGCTTGCCTGGGCCCCTTGTCCCTGCCCCAGCTTTCACTACTGCATCCCCACAAAGCAGGCTCCACACAGCCGCCAGTCTGTGTTTACTCTTGGTGGGGTGCTGGAGATGGAACTTCGTCTCACGCATGCTGGTGAGTGCTCTACCACTGAGCTGCATCCCCAGCCCCACTGATCTTTAAAAACCGTAAACCAAACCCTGCCCTGTCCCGACTGACAATCCTTAAAAGGCTTCCTGCTGATCAAAGGACCACTCACAAGCGCCTGACCGCAAGAGCTCGACCACAAGAGCCCACGCAACCTGGCCCCTGCCCACCTCGACAAGTTCGTGTTGACCACAGTCCCTTTCCTTACCACTCTCCAGCCACGCTGGCCTCTTTTCATTTCCTCAAACAAGCCGAAGACTCCATGCTTCGAGACCCTCTGCCCACACCGTTGTTCTTCCCGGCCTATGCACATTGGACTTTTCATCCTTCAGGTTTAGGCTTAAATGTTGCCTGTGTCAGTCTCTGCTCATCGACCTACGTAAAGAATTCGCCACCACGATACTCAAAGTCTGCAGCACGTCCGTCACAGCAGTCTGTTGGGCCACTTGTTGAACAGCCTTCTCCAGATCTCTGCCCCAGCTGCCCCTACCCTGTACCCAGGACAGTGGCGTGCTGAGTGTATGCTGAGACCACACAGCCCAGCTGGCCTGCCCGCATGTGCAGGAGCAGATACCCCAGCCCAAGATTTGGTCCTGTTTTCACAGCCCGCCTTCCCTATGTTGACCTCACACATTTTCCGTGAGGCTTTATTTGGTGGGGCTCCTGGCTAGGAATCAATGTCAACTCAGTAATAGGGCAGCAATTTGGTGGCAGATGTTTTCTTGGCAGCCTTGGCCACAGGTCTTAGCGGGGGCCTCGGGTCTGGCTTTGGAACACCACTGCCCAATGCCAGCCTCCTTTAAAGATCTCTCTTCAAATAAACTCAAACAAACACCCTGGGCCTCCATTAGCGCCCTTCCAGCTGACCCTGTGAACAGTGGGCCTTTCAGGGCTGCTACTGCCGCCGCCCCTGGGCAGATAAACACCCGAACCTGGCCTCTAGCCTCTCCTCTCCAGGGGCCACCAGGCCTGCCCTGTGCACCGCCACACACAGCAAAAAAGGGGGAAAGGGGCTTTCAAGCAGGCGATTTACCATTCCAGACACAATCTTTCAAAGAGAAACAAAAACTCTCCCTGTCTGAGGCAGACCGCTAAGGCGTGTGTGTAATAAGATGCTAATACAATTTAATGATATTTCGGCTGGAAAACCTGTCCTCAGAGCCTCCTTGCGTCGGGAAGGCCAGACACTCAGAAAACAAGAGCTGTGCACTTTTAAACCGCTGGAAATGGGGGTCGGAGCCCCACTCTTTCCTATCTCTCATTAACTTTAATGCCTTCTCAGGGACAGTAACTGCAGTTACAAAAATGATTTTGTGCACATGGGGTGAAGGGAGGGCTGGTGCCAGGGTTTCTCACTCTCCTCTGCAGACCTGCTCCTCCAAGCCTCAGGAGCTGAACCCCCACCCATCACCGCCCACCTGCAATTCCAAGCATCCCAGCTCTCCAGGAACAGGCCGCCCAGGCCTTCCCTCTGCCCCAGTGCTGGGGATACACCAAGGGGATCTGAGGGAGTGGAAGGGCTCTGCCTACTGTCCTTTAGTACTTCCCTCCTCTTCCCCTCGAAAGGGCAAACCCGGCCAGCTCACTCCCAGGTCTGGCGGTCCGCTGGCATCTGATCTCTTCTTCAGAGAAAGGAGCTGGCTCTCTGGCCTAGTCTAAAGGTGGAAGATAAAAGGTCAAACTGCACTGGGGGGTCATTAATAATGCTCAGGTCATTAATAATAATAGTAAAACATGGTTAACCCTAATCAAGTGCCTACCTCATGCCTTGGTTTTGGGTTAATTCCTTTGTCCCCTCCCCTTTCTTTGTTTCTTTGCAGTGCTGGAGATGGAACCCAGGGCCTTGTACAGGTTAGGGAAGGGCCACGCCACTGAGCTACACCCCTCGTCCTGAGCACAGTCTACGCAATATATTACTTACTTATTTATTTTTTTGGTACCAGGGATCGAACTCGGGACCTTGTGCCTACAAGGCAGGAGGCAGAACCACTGAGCTGAATCCCCGGCCCTATATTACTTATTAATAAACTACGATATATCACTTCTTATACCCACCATGCGGTAGGGAACGTCATTAATCCCCTTGGAAGTGAAGAAATTGAGGCCGGAGCTGTAGCACAGATGGTTAACTGAACCGCTAGGAGTCAAACCGAGGCCCTCTGAGGCTTCACCCTTAAAGAGCTAAAGCATATATACAGGCCCACAATTTCCAGGGTGCAGCAAGGTAGCTCCTAATTCCAGAAGCTACTGTCTGCAGGCCTTAAGACCAACTTATACGGGCTGCTAAACTTTGAGCTGGGCCTTGCAATTGGAAGCTTTGGCACTACATGGTGGGGGACACAGCAAGGCCGGGGTGTTGTGCCTGTAACTCTAACCTGGTCTCCCTCAGGAGAGCCTAAAGAACCCTGAGGTCCCCAGACAGCCTGCAGCAGATGCTGTAAAGGGTCTGGTCTGAAAATCTCTGGCCTGGGTCAGAAACAAAGAGTAGAAAATACCCCCATTAACTGAAACTTTGGTCAAAGCCCTAACTTCAAGACTTCAAGGTGCGCCTGGGGCCTGGGGAATGGCTGTTCCGCAAGGAAAGGAAAAGTGTGTTGGACGGGAAAACATCCTGCAAACATTTGCTTCCTCCACAACCCAAACAACTCTGTCCTTAAACACTTCATCTCCAAAAGTGCTGGGGAGACCCTTGACTAGTTTCAAAACCAACACTCATTGTAAGTCCTGCGGCCCGAGGTGAGGACTTCCCTCTGAGGAGCATTTGCCCTGGAACCAAATGCTTTTCCACTCAAAACAACAGCCAACACCACTCGGGACAACAGAGAGGGCTCCAGATCAAACAAACATCCTTTTTCCCCTACCATGCAAACTTTCTCAATAAATTATTCGCCCACTTCGGATCAAAGCCTGTTTTCGCAGCCTGTGACCTAAAAAGCAAATATCATCGCTGAAACATGAAAGCCCTCCTCCCTGCCTGGGTCAGCTTTATTACTCATTCCTTCCCCCCTTACAGTTATTCTGTTGTTATTTTCCTCCTCTGCTTGGTAGATGGTTCTACGAGTCCCAACGCGCCTGAGGACGATGGGACGGGAGGGATGGCGCACTCATTTAGGGCCCTAAGGTGAGAAAGGAAGTCAGGGAGGGGAGAAGCCAGCATCCTGGGAACCCAGGAAACAGGGCCAGCTCCGGTTGGCAGCTCTCTGCCTGGTCCTTTTGCCAAATGTCCTACTAGGAATTTTACCAGTGAAAGGAGTCCGTGCCACCCTGGGAGGATGGGCCTGGACTCAGGTATAAGTCTAAACTTAAGGATACAGCCCGAGAGCTCATCTGGGTTTAGAGCTCAGGCTCCTCCTACTGCCAACAAAAATTTTCAGTCTCTACTGAGCCCCTTTGGCGCGGCTCTGGATATGAATGTGACCCTTCCCGATGATCCCCCTACCAACGCTGCCCCTGGATCAAACTTTATGCCTCGGAATTTCGCAGAAAACGAACAAGACGAACCGTTCGGCTCGTGCTAGGCCCAGAGGCGAGATCTGGAAAACTGCAGAGACCACGGAGGGCGGCTGCAATGTGCCCTTGGCAAAAAGAAACCGGGTGCCCCTCCCCCTGCCCCAGCCCCCCGCACGAGGCCTGCGGCCAAGCTGGTAAAAAGTGCCCCGGCCGGCTGCAGCGGCTAAGAAGATTAGAAGGGGGGTTGAGCGCGCCTCCAGCCTGCCCCTGGAGGCGGTCTACGGGACCGCAGGCTGGAGGCGCGCCGGCGTGATTCCGACCGCGGGAGCCGGGAGGAGGAGCCGGAGGTAGCTGCGGGGGGCTCCGGCCCTGGAGAAGGAAGGGCAAGAGGCGGCTCGGGCCAGGGGCAGCGCCGGGAGGTGGGTGGCCCGTCGTCCCAGCTGGGGGAGGAGCCAGGAGACTCGGGGAAGGGCACCCCAGCCCCAGGGGGGTGGGGGCGCGATGGAGCCGGGCAGCGGCGTGGAGTAGGGGCCGGGGGTGGGGGTGGCTGGGCCTTTGGAAGCTGGAGTGAAGCCTTCCTGCCAGTCTCGCAGACACCTTCATCTTCTGGCGGAACAGCTTCGAGTCGCCAAGCTGACCCCCTCTCGTTCCTTGGCCCGGGGAGGGGATATTTCAGGACCCAGGGACGGGCGGGAAGGGACCGTGGGGAGCCAGAAGTCTGCACCCCGGCGGGGAAGAGGCGGGCGGGAGCCGCTCCGCAGGCGCAGGCGAGTGGGTGGGAAAGGGAGGGAGAGGGAGGAAGGAGGTGAGGCCGGGAAGATGCCTCTGCCGGGGGCGGGGCGGGGCCGGGGATCCGGCCGAGGGACTGCAGCAGCGCGCGGTGGGGGCGGGGGCTGCAATGTCACTCATCTGAGGGTCAGGTGAGTGCGTCCCAGGCAGGGCTTGCCACTGGCCGGCACCTTCACGGTACCACCCAGGGTGTAAGGGCGGAGGCGGAGAGCCAGGGACCGCAGAGCCATCCCCGGAGCGGGACGCGAACCGGCAGAGTTGGGAGAAGGTAAACAAGGGCCACGCCCCCTGCCGTCGCCCCGCGGGCTCACACCCGCCGCTCCGGCCGTAGCCGGTACATTTCCACTCTCTCAGCGCCTGTCCCCCGCCGGACTCCCCGCGCAACCCCGGAGGGGGGGCTGTCCCCGACCCCAGCCCGCGCCCCAGGTGCGGGGGCTGCGCACCCTCCACACTCACCTGGAAAGGGTGTCCCCCGCCCCTCCAGGAAAACTGTGTCTAATTTGTGCAGCGCCTCCGAGCCCAGGAGCCGAGCATGCTGCCCCCGCGTGCGGCGCCCGCGTGCACCCAGCCCGGAGAGGGGGCGCAGAGCGGAGGCGGTGGCCCCCGGAAGGTATCTGGGACCGGACCGGCTGCACGTGAGCCCAGCGCGGGGTCATGTGCACCGGCTCAGCCCGGTTCAGCGCCCGGACGTGCTGCGTATCAACAAAATGAAACTCGGGGCGACTGGAAGGCTGCTGGCTCCGGGTTCTGCGAGCCCCCGCCCCCGGCCGCTCGACCTCCCCCCGCACCCTGCTCCAGCCGCAGCCCCTCCGACCGGCCAGAGCCCGCGGGGCAAGTTGCAGCCCCGGCGCGCCCCCGCCCGCCCGCCCGCGCCCCCTCGCCGGCCCAGGGGCGCTTTGCCGCAGTCATTAATAAAGAAGGTCGCCAGGCTCACCCTTCCAAAAGTTGTTGTTGCACGCGCCCCTCTCAGTCTCCCAGCACCGTACTCTTTAAAACGCGACTGACCAACATGCGCAATCTCTCCCAGTGCTGTGCATCCCCCACCCCCCGCGCTGGCTTCCTAGAACAGGCAGCCAGCGCGAGAGAGGGAGCGAGCGAGCAAGGAAGCGAGGAGCGCTGGCAGATCTGTTACAAAAATACAAAATAATGCCGTGGAGATGCGCAGGGCCCATCCGCCCGGGGCTGGATCTTACCTTGCTCCGTGGTGCCCTCCCGAGGGGCGCTGCCCTCGGCTACGCGCCGCGGCGGGGGCCGGCGCGGGAAGGATGCTCCCGAAACCAGGAGCTCCCGGGGCCGGCGCGGGAGGGCGGGGGGCGCACATCCATCCGGGGTCGTGGCGAGGGAGGCGGCCCGGCCCGCGGCGTCCCCGGCCCCGCGCCCCTGCTGGGGACGGTCAGCCCGCCAGAGCCGAGCCGGTGCCGCTAGGAGTGGGCGCAAAGAAACTCCATGGACGCTACTCACCCCCCACAAAAATAGCCTCCAACTGCGATGGCCGCGGTCGGCACCATTCACCAACCCCCTGTGTATGTTTCTGTTTCTTTTTAAACCAAGACTTCCTTGTGATCTCTTTGGAAAAAAAAAAAAAAATGTGTTGGGGTGGGGGTGGGGTGGGGGCGGGCAGGAGGAGCGAGGGAGGGGGAGTAGCCACTTTTCTAATTCACTCGGATCTCCGCTCCCCGCACCCCCGGCGCCCCCCTCCGCCCAGGCGTTTGGCTCCGGCGGCGGTTCAGGTAGCGTTGCGGGCCCCGGGGGGGAGGAGGGTGCCCGGCCCGGGCCCCCGCCCGCCTGCACCCGGGGCCCGGACTCCTCGTGGACTCTGGGGCGCCCCCAGCCCGCCCTGTCCCCGGGGCCGGGCCCGAGCGGCGGCTGCGCCCGTGCAAGTCCCGTCAGGTCTGCTCACACTTCGCACACTCACACATACCCCGCCCCTCCACTCACTCACACTTTCTGCTCACACCCCGCCCCCTTCGCACCCCAGACCCGGGCGGCGCCCCCCGCAACCTTAAAAAAAAAAGAAGCAAGCTTATACTTAAAAAAATCTTTTGGCGCCATATTAATGACGTACTTAAAATTTGCCATTTCTCCCTGCGTCAAAAAGACGTTTCTTTGCAAATAACAGCCTGGAGGCGACACTCGCGGAGGAAACGAGGTTTGCACCGAGCACCCCGCCCCCCCGGGGGGCTCCAGCGCTGGAAGACCCTCGCCCTCGGCCGGGTTTCGGAATTGCTGATTTTAAAAATGTGAATCGAATAAATCGCGTGGCGTTCTGCAGCGCCAGAAGTGAGCAGAAAGTGCTGGCAGCGGCGGAGGGGCGGGGAGGGGCGCGCGGGTCTGGGGGAGGGGGCGCGGCCCTCCTCCCCCTCCCACACCAAATGGAAACTAACCTTCCGGGCGGGAGAAACTTGAAATTGTGGGCGACCTCAAGGAAAGAGGGGCGGTGCGTAGCGAGGGTCCCTCTGGGGCTCGCCGCCCCCTCCCCCATCTCGGGTGCTTCCCGGCGCTGCCCCGCATTTCCGGGGGGTGCGGAGAGCTGTGATGGGTGGGTGGGTGGTGGGTGGTGGGTGGTGGGTGGCTGCAGATTCTGACTCCGGCAGGAGTTTGCCCCGGGGCTGCCCCTTCCCCCTCGCTCGTCGCCTAAAGGGTTAAAAATCGAGGGGCAACTTGCAAGGGCTGGCACTTGGCGAAGAAACGGGGCGCCCCCCTCCCCACCCTTCGCCGCCTCGCCCCTCCTCCTCCTCCTCCGGCTCCTCTTCCCGACTTGACCTTGTGGTGCACAAACAGTGCGCTCGGATCCTCGCAGTTTCTGGAAGAAGAGCCTGCGCTCGCCAGGCGGGCGGGCTGTCGGGCGGCTAGCCGGCGGTGGCGGGGCCTTGGGTCGGTTCCCGGAGCCGCGAACCACACCCACCCACTCCGCTGCGCCCGCGCCCGCCGCGCTCACCTTCTCTCGAGGAAGGAGAAGGGCTGGCCTCCTGGATGGGGAGGTGGGGTGCCTCCTTCGGCCTCCTCCGAACGCCCCCGGCTGGGAAAGTGGGCTGGCCTTGGGATGGAGGTTTGGGGAGACCCGAGCCTGGCCCGACATCCCCGGGCATCTTCGCCAACTTTTCCTCCCGACTCCCTCTAAGATGATATTTTTCAATTCACCTTTGGCTTTGAAGGCACGTGGGTGAATCCCTTTCCCTCTCCAGGACTGAAGGTTGTTTATTCTTCCTTTTCCTTCCACCCCCTTCCATGAGAAGATAAATATTCAATTTACATAAGATGACATTTATGTGACAATTAAGAAGATTCCCCGATGGAATATTATGAACACATTTGCTTATAGGAGAAATAAATCTAATAATAAACAAATTCATAATAACAGCTCCAATCCTCCGACAGGGCGGATTGTCTACACAACAAAGAGAGATGATGGATGCTGAAATAAGCACTTTTTTGCGCCGAGAAAGAAATATGAGCTCAAAGGGAGTCACTGCAACGTTTCTCTTCCTTGGCCTTCATTCACAAAGTGTGGGGAGGCTTGCCTCTCGAGAGGAGGGGCTGGGTGTCATCTCGCACTTAGACCTGGCTCTAGCTGTCAGTGGTCAAGTGGCAGGATTTTCCCAGGCCGAGGTCAGTGCCTGCAAACAGGTGTTTCCGGCTAGTTAAATACCTGGCTTCCTGTCTGAGCTTTGCTGTTGAGAAGCTGTGTGGTGTGGGCCAGGGAATTCATCTCTTGAGTCTCTTTTGCCTCTTGGTTGGGCTGTTTGCTGAGGGCATCGCGTGCACAAATCCATGTACATAAACACGTACCCACACACATGTGACTCAGTGTGCGTCGTGAGTGGCGACTTCATTGGGTGCTTATTTTTTTGTTTTGTTTTTTAGTGCAGGAGATTGAACCCAGGGCCTTGCTTGCTAGGCAAGTGTTTTACCACTGAGCTATTTATCCCCGAGCCCCACTCCCTGCCTGATTTTTTGGGGGGTGAAAGTGTGCTCTAAAAGCTTTAAACACTGGAAAACTTTGGGGCAATGATTTCTGTCTTGTCCTCCATGAGGACATATAGAAGAGCTCCCAATCCAGCATCAAGAGGGCCAGGAGAGAGAGCTGATAACTGCTAGGCTTCACGGTCAAGGTCCAGACCGCAGTCTCAGGCACGTGTCTGGGGTGTCTGGGGTGCCGGTGGAGGCGGGCAGTGCTCCGTAGGCAGCCCCAGAGATCTGCGCTGGCTCTGGTGGACGGGACGCGAGACGGGTTTAAATGCCTTAGAGGACTCGACAGGCTCCTCCTCCTGGCTGTCAGGAGACCTGAGCTGGAATGGGGAAGTGCTTTGGCGAGCAGTTATAAAATGACTTCAAGGGATGGAAACAGGAGGGGAGGACCTTTTAAAGAGCACCTGCTCCTGCTTTGCCCCCTGTGAGCTATTCTATTTTATACTCATTTAAAAAAAAATAAAACCTTACTCGTCCGGAACAGTTTAGTAATTTACCCACGTCTGATTGTGGTGGCAGAATTGGCACCCTGGTCTAGCTGTCTCCAAGACCTATGTGGTTCCCATTTTACCGCACTGTTAGAAATAATAAAGTAGTATTATTTTGGTTTGACTGGGGGTGGGGGAATTGATAGCTTTATGAGCAGCACTTTGGCTCTGAGGTAGTTCCGTGACCCAGGGTGAGACCAGGAGCCCTTCAGAATCCTTGTGTCCCCTCAGCATTGACCTTGGAAGTGTTAATAAAACGATCGTGATAAAGCTGATTATAACTTCTTAATCTTGGCTGAAAGTCTCACAAATCATTAACTTTTTGCAGGAAAACAAATGAGAACCAAGAGTTCATGGAGATGGAATCACTCATTTTGTTCAGCGAGAATTTGTCGAGTCTCCTGTATGCCAGGTAGCGTTCTAGGCTCTGGGGACGGAGCTCAGATCGTATAGACACAAATGCCTAGTCTCGAGGAACTTTCTAGAGGAAGGAGATGTACCACTTAAAAATAAACAAATGAGAAATGTATTATGTTTGATGGTAATTAAGTGCTATAGAGAAAAATTAAGTAACAAACAGGAAAGGGGGACCCATAGTGTTGGGGTACAATTTTAAGTAGGATAGTCAGGAAACATCTCAACGAAATGGCTTTTTAAATTTTTCCTTTCATAGTACTGGGAAGTGAACCCAGGGCCCAGTACGTGCTAGGCAAATGCTCTACCGCTGAGCTACATCCCCAGCCCTTTTAAAAACTTCTCATTTTGAGATGGGATCTCCATAAGTTGCTCAGACTGACCTTGAACTTGTGATCCTCTTTCCTCAGCCACCTGAATACCTGGGATCACAGCTGTGCACCACTGTGCCTAGTCTGGGAAGACGGCTTTTGAGTAAGAGAAGGTAAAGCAAACCAGGTGTGCTGGCGCACGCCTGTGACCCCAGCACTTGGGAGGCTGAGGCAGGAGGATTGTCGTAAATTCAAATCCAGCCTGGGGTACATAATGAGTTCAGGGAGAGCCTGAGCTATGTAGCTAGACCTTGTCTCCAAAAAAGAAGAAAAGAAAAAAGAAAAAAAAGGTAAAGGAGTGGGTTGTGTGGGTTGTGTATGTGTCTGTGAGGGTACATGAGGGAAGAGCCCACGGACGCTCCCCTCCATAGAGCTGTAGATAGAATTCAAGAGATCTTGACCTTCAATGAGAAAAAAAATGACATCTTTATTTTCACCAATTAAAATGTAGCATGTTTTTCCATTACAAATAACAGACAACCAATCAGTGAGTTAACAGCACCTGTGATGTTGTTGCTAGTACAAATCACATATTTTCATATCACATTGCAGTCGCTGCAAATACCTTAAAGTGCAGTATTACACTCATCATTACTTCAGAATTATGGTGCTAGCTCTTGTAATTTAATGAATTAATAAAGAAGCACATAGGTATATTACTACTTTGCACAGGCACACTGTTAAAATATTTTGAAAGTTATATTTCAGTATAATTGGTTTTCTTTGTAATGTATAGATTGAAAGACCTTAAACTTGGAAGGAGTCCTCGCGCTTCACAGACTCTCAGAGTCTATGGCACACGCACAAAAGGCCTAAGAACCCTTGTCTCGACAGAGAACAGCAAGTGCAAAAATGCAAAGCCTCTGGGACAGCAGGGTGATTGCTTTGTAGAAGGGAAGAGATTATTTAGAGCCTTGTAGGATATTCCTAAGAATTTGGCTTTCGCTGGAGTGATGGGGAGGGCTTTGAGCTGAAGAGTGACAAGATCTGACCCTGGATTTTGCAGGTCACTTGGCCGTCATGTGAAGAACAGACAGAAGAGGAGAAGGCTGAAGCAGGAAGAGAGGAAGAGCATTGAGGAGGTCACCTAATAAACCGGGTGAGAGATGATGAGGTTAGTTTGGCTCAGAGTGGTCGCAGCAGAAATGTTGACAAGTGGTCCGAGTCTATGTTTTGACAGAATTTGCTGCTGGAATGGGAGAGGAAGAAGTTAAGGAGGACTATGAGGGTTTTACCTTAAGTCAGTGGAAGAATGGAGTTGCCATTAACTAAGATGACAGAAACTGGCAGGAGTAGGTTTTGAGGGGAGGATTAGAAGCTCCAAGTTGGCCATCAAGCTTGAGATGCCTGCCCAGCGGTAGCCATCTCCCAGTTGGCTAAAAATGGCAGCCTCGGCTCATGGTGAGGTCCTAGGTGAAGATGTTCCATTTTCAAAATGATCAGCAGGGAGATGGTGTTCAAAGTCATAGGGCTGCTTGAGACCATCAAAGAAACAAACATAAAAGAAAAGGCTCAAGGATGGTGACCTTAGGCACTGCAAGGTCAAGCGGTCTGGAAGATGAAGAATTACCAGCAAAGATGCCATTAAAAGAGAAACATCTAGGGCCAGGGATTTACCTTGGTGGTTTCGCTGCCTGCTGCACAAGCACAAGGACCCGAGTTCGATCCCCGGTACCAAAAAAAAAAAAGAGAGAGAAGCATCTAGAGCTGGGGATTTAGCTCAGTGGTTCCACCGCCTGCCTCGAAAGCGCAAGGTCCTGAGTTCAGTACCAAAAAAGAAAAGAAAAAAAGAGAAGCATCTAGAGAGGTAGGAGGAATGTCCTCAGCGGCACAGGAAGGTATCTTGGGAGGGAGGAGAGCCCTGAGCCCACAGCTGAGGGTCAGATAAGCTGAAGACTGAGGGCTGATCATTAGGGTCAGCATAGATGGCACTGGTGGCTTTGACAGAGCCGTATCAAGGGAGTGGTTCAAGCCAAAGCGTGACTGGACTGGGTTCAAGAAAGAGTGGTAAAGTTTACCGTTGTTATAGTTTGTCCCAGGATACTACCTAAAAATGAGCTAACCTGTGCATGTGTTGATCTGTTAATGCATATAGAGACGGATAACCACGTTGCTGGAGAATTCAATTTAAATAACTGGAGCAGGATTCGGTCATGCAGGCTTGTAATCTCAGCTGCTTAGGAGGCTGAGGCAGGAGGATCACCATGAGTTCAAGGCTATCCTGGACTACGTAGTGCATTCAAGGCCAGCCTGAACCACATAGCAAGACCCTGTCTCAGAAACCAAAATAAATAAATAAATAATTTTTAAAAAGACTTTTGTTGAGGATATTCTGTGTTAAATGTGGTAAAGGAGGTTACAGATTCTGAGGGAAATAAAAACAGCTTGCAAAGAGTTCACAGTCTAGCTAACTTTGTTCACAAACGAAATATACTCAAAGTCTCATGTGTGGCTGAATACAGACAGTCTGAACACCAGTTTTGCCAGTCTGATAGACAATAGAATTAAGACTATGGGTTCCAGGGCCAGGAATTTAGCTCAGTGGTTTGGTGGCTGCCTGCTGCGCAAGCGCGAGGACCCGAGTTCAATCCCTGGTACCAAAAAACAAAAAAAAGCTTCTTGGGGAAAATCTTTTCAAAAAAAAGACTATGGGTTCCAGAGTTGGGCAGTCCTGAGTGTGAGTCCTGTCTACCGCTCACCAGCTCTGTGGCTTTGTACGAGTCTTCATGCCTCCATTTCCTCCCCTGTGAAGTAGGGATGCAGCTGTGTCCAAATTTCATGTGCCCATTTCTGGGCCTTATCATCAAGGGTTCTCAATGGACAGGTCTAGGACAGGGCTCCAAGATTTTTAACAAGATTCATTCTCTCTCTCTCTCTCCCTCCCTCCCTCCCCACCCCTTTTCACTCCTGGCACTGGAGATTGCATTCTACAGCTGAGTTACAGCTCCAGCCTTTTTGAAAATTTTATAACAAGGTCTTGCCCAGGCTGGCCCCAAACTTGTGGTCTTCCTGCCTCAGCCTCCTAAATAGCTGGGATTGTGTGTGTGTGTGTGTGTGTGTGCGTGTGTGCGCGTGCGAGCGTGCGCTCCGCCACACCCCGCACCCAGTCATTCTCCATGCCCCTGGCCGGGGAGCACACTTTGTGCAGCACCTTGAGCAGGTCTTCGAGGTTCTGACTGCTGGCCTAGCATCCCGTCATTGCTCATTAGACAATAGCCCTTCTTCCAGGAGTCTTTATTGGGAACAAAATAATCCTTTTTGATAACTTGCAATTTGTGTCCAGAAGCAGAGGTCCAGCATACCATAAGCTCTTTAACTGAAAAAAATAGCATAAGATTGTTTAACATTCATGCACTGAATATTTATTGAGTGCCTGCTAGGTTCCAGGCAGTATTTAAGGACTGGAAAGACCAAAAATATGTGACTCAGTGATTTGTCTGAGTCATCAAGGTGGGCAGAAGCCCCGGTGTAGTCAGCCCAGCAGCTGACCGAGCCGGGTGAGAAGCCCTTATTCTCAGCCGGGCTGATGTTCACTCCCTCACTGCTCAGGATGTTGCTTGTCCGATGGTAACAGGTGCACAACTCAACTGGGGTCTTGTGCAGGTACAGACTGATTCATGAAGTCTAGGGTGGGGCTGCGTTTCTCACAGGCTCCCAGCTGACCCTGGTGCTTCTAGGTCACGAGTCAAGTTCTCACATTCAAAGTAGCACAGTTTAGAGGTTGGGGGACTCGGATCGGAAGGCCTGCCCTCCCCTTGGGGTTCCTGGGGAATGCTGAGGGGAGAGTGAATCTGACTGCACAGAGATGAGTATGGTGTGCTCCAACTTCCTTCTGACTCCTGTTTTTAGAATCCAGTCTCTCCCCTGCCACCTACAGTCAGTGGCCTGAGGCAGCCTCCTCTAAAAGAAGATGAGTATTCGTCCCTTTGGGCATTTAGTAAATATTCCCTGAACGCCTACTATTATGTCAAGACCTGTGCAGAACACAGTTGGCGTTCAGGGGAGGATGAGACAGCAGCTTCAGCCTCTCCTGGCTCCAGGCAGGAAGTACCCCCGGGGCATGGGACAGGGTAAAGCTACCCAGGGCTGTCTGTGCCTGAAAGCCCTGCCCTGGCAAGATCCTGACTTGGCTCTGACGGGTGTACTTCAACACATGCCCCTCTGGAGCCATATTGGACAGTGCAGCGGTGGGACTGACCAGTCCCCAGGAGACGTCCGGGTAGAGTGCCTGCCGGGCCACCTGTCCCTTCTCAGACTCCAGACCTCACCCACTGGCCACAGATGGCAGAAGGCAACGAAGATCCCCGAGGCCTGCAAACACCTCCCCAGAAACTGCCAGGAAGTGTGGCCAGGTCAGAGGCCTGGCCACAGAGTCGAAGTGAGGATCCACTCTGAGCTGAGGGGCCAGCCCAATCCATGAGCTGCCACAAATGCAGGCACAAGCACTAAGTCAAGTTGAGCAGTGTAAGCAAAACCCTCTCACTTTTCCCAGGGTTTCTGATAAATCAAAGCAAATCTCCCTCCATCTGACAGACTCTTCCCTCCCATGTACTCACCTGTGGTAAGTGTACAAGCTGGGTATACCCCTGTAACCCCAGCTACTCATGAGGCTGAGGCAGGAGGATTCTAAATTCAAGGCCTGGACAACTTAGTGAGACCCTGTTTTAAAATAAAATAAAAAGGCTTAGGGATATAGCTTAGTAGAGTACTTGCCTAGCATGGTCGAGGCCCTGAGTTCCACCCCAGGTACGATAATAATAATAATAGCCTGGCATGGTGGTACATGCCTGTAATCCCAGCACTTGAGAGGCTGAGGCAAGAGCATTGCCACAAGTCCAAGGGCAGCCTGAACTACACAGCAAGACTCTGTCACACACACACAAAAAATAGTAATAATACATTTATAAGTACTTATACCTACAGGATCAGTTTGTATACACTAAGGCAATGAGCTTCAGGCCCAGATCCTGTCTTTGTAGGGTTTGTGTCCATTTAATTAATTTATTCATTTTTTAATTTTTTTAATTTATTTTTTTTTGGTACCAGGGATCGAACTCGGGTCTTCATGCTTTCGAGGCAGGCAGTGGAACCACTGAGCTAAATCCCCGGCCCTAATTTATTCATTTTTGCAATGCTAGGACCTTTTGATGCTAGGCAAGCCCACTGCTACCAAGCTGTATCCCCAAGCCATAGGATTTGTGCTCTTTAGGAAGTCAGTCTGTAAGATTGCTATATTACAATAGCAAGCTGTTTAGGAGCCTGGGGGTTGAAATGGTCAGAAGAATTTCTTGGGCAAGCCCTGGGGAATGAAGCTGGAGATGGTGTATGAGTCAGATTTTCATTACTATAACAAAACATCGTTTGGGCTTGAGGTGTAACTCGGTGGTGTACAGGACCTAGGTTCAGAACACAGCACTGCAAAAAAAGAAAAATAAAAACCCGGAGGCTTGGTGCTTCATAAAGAAAAGAGGTTTTTAAGCTTATAGCTCTGAAGGTTGAAGCTCACAACACAGCGCTGGCTTGGTTCCGGGGAGCACTTCAGCCTTGGCTATCCCAGTAGCAGGAGGGCACTCGAGAGGGCGAAATCGCCTGGCAAGATAGGAAGGCGGGAAGCAGGCTGGAGTTGAGGCTTGGGCCTTCATGACAGCATGACCTACGGAGAACTTATTCCAAGGGCCTGGGGAGGTGGCTCAGTGGTACCAGTGCTTGCCCAGCATACCTGCAGCCCTGGGTTCAGTCTCCAGTTCTGAAAAACACAGCCAAACCAAAAGCCTCACTCTGGGAGACCAGCGTCCCTTGAGGAGGGCAGGGCCCCCACGAGCCTTCTCCTAGGCCCCCACTTGCAGGCTCTATCACTTCCTCCCTCCCCACACTGGGGACCAAGCTTCTGACATGTGAGTCCTTGGGGCACGAGCCACATGCAGACCACAGACAGCACCTGGAGATTCAGATGAGGCAGGGAGGGTGAAAGATGTCCCAGAGATGTAGATGGCACCTACCAGTTCACAGCATGCATGAGTAGAGCGTGATGCTAACCCTGGGAGGTCTCCTGAAGAAGGAACTTCCCTTCATCCAGGAAGATATACTAGGAGCCGTCTGAGATGACAGTGAGACCCGCAATGGCCGTGTGTTGGAAGAAAGAGACCAGAGCATGCCATTCAACCTCCAGGCATCTCCCCCTCGGAGATCCCCCAGTGGAGCAAGGGCACCTGTTTAAGAAGAGTCATTACCGCCCCTAACAGTGAAAAGCTGGAAGCCACTTGAGCATCCATCGCTCCAGGACCAACTAAATAAAGCACAGTGCGAACAGAACGAGGTAGCCAAGGAAGAAGGGGCATCATGTGGTTTTGTGCATCTGGTATAGAAAGGGCCCTACGAAAAGTGTCAAGTGACAAGCAGATTTCAGTGCCGTGTACCATGTGATCTGTATGCAGTGGAAACGCACTACAAAGTGAGGGTTGGGGAGCAAACCTAGGACCTTGTGCACGCTAAGCAAGTGCTCGTCCATGGAGCCACATCACCAGCCCCAAAGTGTACATTTTTATATGAATACCTACACACACACACACACACACACACACACACACGCACACAATTTAGGGAAATAAAAGATCTGGAAAAATACACACCAAAACAATGACTGGCCTGTGTTGCAGTGCAAGGAGGAAGGAGACTGGGAAGGGGCGAGGGGCTGGGCCCAAGGCTGTGGAGACCGGAAGGAGCTGACCTGTGGTGTTATGGGGACCCCAAGAAGCCCTCTGCTGTGGGGCAGTGTTGGCTGCCCCCAGCTGCTCGAATCCTCCAGAGACCGAAGCATTGTTGGTTGGGGTGGACCACGCTTCTCTTGGAAAGCTGCCTTCCGGGCTAATCCACGGCAGCCCCTGCGTAGCCCAGGGCCCATTTGACTACCTGGGCCCCAGAGTCAGGGTCACTCTGAGCCACTCCAGCTGGGCCAGCCTTGACCCTAAGTGCATTCCAGAGCCTGCTCATGGAGGCTGAGCTCCAGCAGGTGCCCAGAGAAGCCCCACTTCCTGTGGCCAACCCGGAAGTTGGGTAGGCTGGGCTGGGAAGCAGGGTGGTCAGGTTCTCGAGCAGCGTGGCCCAGAGAAGGCTCCCTTCCTCCGGCAGGTCGAGCGCCATTTTTGCCCAACATATTTTGTTTGCGCATTCCTGGCCCGGCCCAGCTCCAGAGGCAGCAAAGGTAGGAATAGTTCGTTACCTGATGGATGCTAACTGGTTAATGAGAACTGACTCAGTGAGTGCTCTGGACTGGCTGCAAGGAAACGGGTGGTGGTGGGGGGCTGCTGAGGCCAGG